GGGAGCCAGGCAGACCTAGCTTCGTGATGAGCTCAGGCAGCACGGACGCGTGACGCTCATCCTCCTGCCTCATCTTCATCCTCCCCGCAGGCGGAGGACCAAGAGTTCCTCGAGGAGATCAGGGATGCCGAGAACGCAAGGGCGGCGAAGGCAGAGGTCTTCGCACAGATGGGCAGGCTCCGCAACTCGACGTACCACCTCATGTCGCCCGACACCGACGAGGCGCTGCCACTGTTGTTTGCCTGCTTCATGTTGGCGCTTCGCTCTCTCTCTCTCTCATTCTCTCTCTCTCTCTCTTATCTCTCTCTCTCTCTCTCTCTCTTTCCCAACCATCCTGTGGTGTTGGGTCCTCGTTTTGGAGAGACGGCCCCCGCGTTCCTCCTCTCCTCTCTCCTCCTCCTCCCGCTCCCCCCCCCCTCCTCTCTCCCCCCGTCACCCCCCTCACTTTGGCTCACTTCGTGGCCCCATAGGGAGCTCCACCGAAGGACCCAGTGGGGGTGCCCGCATGCGTCCCCCACCCCCAGTACAGCCTTTCGTGGCCCAAGAGGGAGCTCCACCGAAGGCCCCAGTGGGGGTGCCCGCGTGCGTCCCCCACACCCAGTACAGCGCTTCGTGGCCCCATAGTGCGCTCCACCGAAGGCCCCAGTAGGTGTGCCCGCATGCATCCCCCCCACCCAGCACAACGCTTCTTGGCCTCATAGGGAGCTCCACCGAAGGCCCCAGTGGGGGTGTTCGCATGCGTCCCCTCCACCCAGTACAGCGCTTCGTGGCCCCATAGGGAGCTCCTCCGAAAGCCCCGATCGGGGTGCCCGCATGCGTCCCCCCCCCCACACACCCAGTACAGCGCTTCGTGGCCCCATAGGTAGCTCCACCAACGGCCCCAGTGCTACCGCCCGCATGCGTTCCCCCCCACCCAGTGCAGCGCTCCATGGCCCCATAGGGAGCTCCACCGAAGGAGATATTCACAATTGTGGTACGCACAACTGCATATGGTTGAGTCCTTCGCCCGGATAATGTTTGTTGTTTCTCTCTCTCTCTCTCTTTCTCTCTTACTCTCCCGTCCCCTCTTCCGAAACGAACATCGGTCATGCACCGCACTGCGTCCCGTGCGCAATGGTTGCAACGGCTTGCACGCACAGCCCGCACAATATAACGTGTTTCCCCTGGGGTTGATTGGTGCTGACAGACTCTGAATGACTGGCTGACTGACCGACCTACCGACCGACCGACTGACTGACTGACTCGCGGGGGTGGTCAGATTTCAACACTGCCCGCAATATTTTCTATAGTGTTATATATATGTGTGTACATATATTCAGGAGTTGAGGGATCGCTTCGCTTCGCCTCAATCTTGGTCCTACGTCCATGCGCTCCCAACCACTCGGTGAACGAGTTACTGGTGAAAGCAGATGATGACCACGAGGGGGGTCACGGCAATCATCCCGGAACAGGCCATAGGAATGTCTTTGTTTCGGGAGAAAGGGTACTGGCGTGACGGGGCCAAAGTCACGCATGGGAGCTGGGAGGAAATTGTGACCACGAGGGGGATTGCGGTCATGAGGTCACGGGGTTGGAAAAACGATGTCCATGTCCGCGGGGTGGATGTGAGGGTCGTCGGAGAGGGGAAGGGGTCGGTACGACGAGGGGGCGACGTTGATGACCGCGAGACGGGGCGAATGTCATCGCTCTGAGAAAGGGTGACGATCCCCACCGTGGGAAGAGGGGAACGCGATGACACATTGTTGGTCGTGGTAAAAGCTTCAGAGCGTCTTGCGTGGCTTTGGGGCGTCTGCGCCGTCTAAGGGCCTCTTGGAAACCTCAGGGGCGATCGGGGCCCGCGCGCATCAAATCCGAATCCGTCGACAGGTTTGGAAGAACCGTTGGTCTGTGTATCTTGCGGCCCTCTTGGTCGTTTCGCGGCCGGTGGAAGTCGATAGTGTCCGCTCGTTTTGGAGGTGGCCCCAGAATTGTGCGGGCGCCTTTCAGAAGGGTCTCAAGCTTGACTGGGCTTTAGAGGGTCGTGGCGTTCGCGGCGCCGATTGGCCTTCGGCTGGCCGGTGACGACGGGGCGTACGTGGAACACGATGATGACGTAGGAGGTGGAACAGACGATGCCGAGCAGGAAGTGGACGAGGAGGACGAACACCAGCCTACTGATTTGCGTTCGTTTTGGAAGTGGCCCGGGTGCTGCTTGGACGCAGGGTGTCAAACTTGAGGGGGCTCTTAGGTGGCCTTGGCGATCACGGTGCAGACTGGCCCACAGCTGGCCGTAGCGAGTGGAAATGAGCTGTCTTGGGGGATCCAGCGGCAGCCGACCCATGAAGCGGGGACACGGACACGACCGCGAGGGGCGTGATGGTCTTGCTGCCGGGGCCTTTGCGCCGCCATGGCGGCACACCCCTGACCTGGATCGTGAGTTCGGGGCGTCTTGGGTGCGCGTCGGGGCCTCGCGGCGTGATTTCGTTGGGCCTTTGGAGTACATGGCTCGCGAATCGCGGGCCTGTGGGGACCTTTCTGGGAACGACGTGCAGGGCTTACACGCGAGACCTCCCATGCGCTTCGAGTGGCAAATTGGGAAGCTTTTGGGGAGCCTTTTGGCAACGTGTTGGGAGTCCCTGGGCCCTTCTTGGAAGTTTTTAGGGGGGCTCCTTTGGGCCAGCTGTGGGCCCTCTTGGGCAGTCCTGGGGCCTTTTTGGGCCGTCTTGGGGTGTTCGATCCGTCTGTGAGCCATCGTGGGGCCGTCTTGGGGCCCTCTTGGGGTGGGCCTCCTATGGCCCTCTTAGGGCTCCCTTGATGCTCTTTGGGAACCCTTTGAGGCTTGTCTTGGGCCGCTTCGGTTTTTTGGGGGACCGTCTTGGAGTCCTTTTGGGGCCCTATTGGGGGCCTCTTGGATTGTTTGGGGGCGATGTTGGGGGGCAACATGCGTGGAATAGTATTTCCGAGCACCCACCACGGCCCAAGAGAGTGTTAAGAATCGCCCCACAAACCAAGGCCCCAGAGGCCCCTGGGACAGCCTCAGTGCGGCCAAAGAGGGCCTCCTGAGAGGCGTTCGGCGGCTCGATCGAATGTCAAGACGGCCCAATACCGCGCCTAGACGACACAGTAGAGCTCCCAAAGCGCGGTGCGCCCAACGGGCCTGCAAGACGCCCCTCACATCTCCCTCAACAAGGGGGTACTCAGAGAGTTGGCCGAAGAGGATCTCTTCTTCCATCTCCTTGCTGCTGCTCCTCCTTGTCCTTCTCGTTCTGCTTATTCTTGACCTGTTCATTCGCCTCCTCCGCTCTCGCCTGCTGTCCGTAGAGTTTGTGGTCGAGCACCCTCTGCGCTCCGATGGTGTGCGCAAGCCGGGCCTGAGCCACCCTCGTCGGCGATTCGCTGAGCCGCCGGTTTCTGCCAGGATGTTAGAATTTGCCCGATCGCGAGCCCGCGCTGGGCTTGAGCCGCCAGCAAGTATCAGCAAGCAAAAAACAGCAGCAGGCAAGCACAAACGACAGCGAGTAGCAACAACAACAGCAGCGGTCGGAGCAAGCAGCGCGTTCCGTTGGGCCCGAAACATGTTCGAAGAAGGGTCGTGGCCCCTGGAGCGTGGACATTTTGCATCTTCAGAGGGGTCTTGGGACTCTGGAGTCTCAGGACCCCCCGTTTGGGAGTGGCGGCGGGGGAGTCTTGCAGAAACGGGGGGGTGCGGGGGGCATGACGCAGATACTCTTACGCTCATTTTACCACTATGGCACGGAACACATGACAGCGTGACGGCCCTCGCCCTGCAGGCCCCCGCAGAGGGGAGCTGTGGACTTCTCCGGCCTGGGCCCCAGGTTTCCGCCAAGACCCTGTGCGGCCCAGCCCTGGCGACCACGATGTCTTCACCCTTCGCCCCGCACTCATTGGGCACTGCGTCCGTGTACATGCCCGCCCCGTGGATTTGGGTTGGCGCGGGGCCGTTGGGCGAGCTGTGCGGTGATTGTCGTTGGAAGGGGTGTGCGTTTGGATTGTTCAGCCTCGGCCTGACGAATGCGAGGTGCAGTGCGTCGGAGGGCGACGCAGGATGAGTCAAACGAGCGCTGGGGAGTGGCAAGGCCCATGCTTGCTTCGGCACAAGGCGAGCCAAGACAGTGAACAGGGGGCGATGTGAAAATTAAGATCCACAGGCGCTCAGCTGGTCCAAGAAGATGGTCTTCCAATTGATCGCCAGCCCAAAATTTGATTTCGGTATGGGGGGCATCATCATCTTCAACGCCGTGACGATAGGCGCGAAGGCTGTAAAAGTCGGAACCGAGATTCCCCAGCTGAGAAGCTTCGGGGGCACCCCGTCGGGTTGCGCACATCATGTGCGATTCATCGTTTGACTGCGCTCCAATCTGCCTCGGCTGCCAAGGGACTCCTCCGTCGCCACGGTCGGATTCGGCTCGGTGTGCGAGCCACGATGATTCCGCAGAGAGAGAGAGAGAGAGAGAGAGAGAAGGATATATATATATATATATATATACACTAGAACCACGCGCGCGCTTCGCGCGCGCTTAGGTTCTAGCTCGGAGGCGAGCTTGAGTCAACGAAAGTCGCAGGGAAGGGGGCAGGGGGAAGAAGGCCAGAGAGCGCTGAAGGATACAAATACTGGAACCCTCGTGTGATTTTGTGGGGGGCCTCGTCCGGCCGCTCGCTGGGAGTTTGACGTAGCTTCTCGGGAGCCTCTGAACCTGTCGGGGGCCTCCTGGAAGCAGGTTCGAAGCATTTTGGGGGCCGATTTGGGGCTTCTCGGGGCCTCCTTTGGGCCTCTTGGGGGTCTCCTGGGGCCTCTTGAGGGGCCTCCTTGGGGCCTCCTGGCGGCCTCTTGGGGCGGAAGGCTCGAGCTTGCGGTTCGTGGTCCCCCTCTGGGCCCCCTCTTGGGCCCGTCTTGGGGCCCTCTTGGGCCATCTTGGGCGCCTCTTGGGCCGTCTTGGGGCCCTCTTGGGCTGTCCTGGGGCCCTCTTGGAAGCTTCTTGGGCCGTCTTGGGGCGGTCTTGGAGGCCTCTTGGGCCGTCTTGGACGCGGTGAAAGCCCAAGATGCGAACATGCGAAAAATATACGTTTTCCCATAGGAATGGCACGATTTTTGTTTCTTGGACCTCTTGGGGTGCCTCTCGGAACGTCTTGGGCTGATTTTGGAAGCCTTTTGGCGCCTCTGGGTGGCGTTTTGGCGCCTCCTGGGATATGTTGGGCCGGAAGCTCGGAATTCGAGAGTGGCTTTCTCCTTCTGGGACCCCTCTCGAAGTCGTCTTGGGGTTCTCTTGGGCCGTCTTGGGGCCGTCCTGAGCCACTCGTGCGCAGTTTTGGAGCGCTCCCGGAGGCCTCCTAGGCCGTCTTGGAGGCCTCTTGGGCCGTCTTGGACGCGGTGAAAGCCCAAGGTGCGAACATGCGAAAAATATACGTTTTCCCATGGGAATGACACGATCTTTGTTTCTTGGACCTTTCTTGGGGTGCCTCTCGGAATGTCTTGGGGTGCTTTTGGGAGCCTTTTGGCGCCTCTTGGCGGCATTTTGGCGCCTCCTGGAGCCTCTTGGGCCGGAAGCTCGGAATTCGAGGTTGGCTTTCTCCGTCTGGGACCCCTCTCGAACTCGTCTTGGGGCTCTCTTCGGCCGTCTTGGGGCCGTCCTGGGACACTCGTGCGCAGCCTTGGAGCGCTCCCGGAGGCCTCGTAGACCGTCTTGGGCGCCTCTTGGGCCGTCTTGGACGCGGTGAAAACCCAAGAGGCGAACATGCGACAAATATACGTTTTCCCATAGGAATGGCACGATTTTTGCTTCTTGGGCCTCTCTTGGGCTGCCTCTCGGAGCGTCTTGGAGGCTTCTGGGACCTTCTTGGTGTCATGACAGGCGTCTTGGAAGGCATCTGGAGCCATCGGAGCGCGTTTCGAAGCCGCCTGCGAACGATCTTGGACGGCGTCCGGCGGTCCGACGAGCCTCCGGGCCCCCCGGAGCCCACATTTGTGGTCGGGGTCCCGGCCCCGGGCCCCCGGACCCGGTGCGCCGTTATATGTGTATATATATATATATATATATATATATATAGATGTACACATATATGTATATAGAACAAACAACACATTTATTCTGGCGAAGGACCCAACCATATGCAGATGTGAGTAACGCAGTTGTGAATATTGTCTTCGGTGGAGCTCCCTATGGGGCCACGAAGCGTGTGAGGGGTGTGCAGGAATGGGCGCGGCGGGCGTATGCGAACGCAGCGACTTGGGCCTTCGGTCGAACTCCCTGTGGCGCCACGTCACGTGTGAGGAGTATGCCGAAATGGGGCGGGACCGCCATGCGACTCCTGCCACAGGGGCCTTCGGCGGAGCTCCCTATGGGGCCACGAAACGTGTGAGGGGTGTGCCGACATGTGGCGGGGTGGAGCTCCCCATGCGGCCACGGAGCGTGTGAGGGGTGTGCCGAAACGGTGCGGGGTAACCGTGCGAGCTTTGCCAGTGGGGCCTTCGGTGGAGCTACCTGGAGGGCCACGAAACGTGTGAAGGGTGTGCCGGCGGCATGGGGCAGGGCCGCCATGCGAACCTTGCCACTGAGGCCTTTTGTGGAGCTCCTGAGGGGTGTGCCGAAAGGGGGCGGGGCCGCCATGCGAACCCTGCCATTGGAGCCTTCAGTGGAGTCCCTTTTGGGCCCACGCAGCATGTGAGGGGTGTGCCGAAATCGGCAGAGCCGCAATGCGAACCCTGCCCTTCGGGGGTGTGCCGAACCGAGTGCGCGGCCGCCATGCGGGCCCTCTCGTTGTCGCTTTCGGTGGAGCTCCCGATGTGGCGACGACGCGTGTGAGGGGTGTGCCGAATCGAGTGCGGGGCCGCCGTGCGGACCCTGCCGCTGCGGCCTTCGGTGGAGCCCCCTATGGGGCCACGGAGCGTGTGAGGGGTATGCCGAATCGGGTGTGGGGCCGCCATGTGGACCCTGCCGCTGAAGCTTTTGGTGGAGCTTTTTATGAGGCCACGAAGCGTGTGAGGGGTGTGCCAGATTGGGTGCGGGGCCGCCATGCGGACTGCCGCTGGGGCCTCCAGTGGAGCTCCCTATGGGGCCACGGAATGTGTGAGGGGTGTGCTGAATCCCTTCGGTGGAGCTCCCTATGGGGCCACGAAGCGTGTGAGGGGTGTGCCGAATCGGGTACGGTACGGGGCCGCCATGCGGACGCTTCCGCTGGGGCCTTCGGAGGAGCTCCCCACGGGGCCACGAAGCGTGTGAGAGGCGTGCAGACATGGACATGGGAAGGGCAGAGGCACGGGTGGCAGGAGGGAGGAGGGGGAGGAGGAATGAGTGAGGGACGCGGGGCGTTGTCTCTCCAAAACGAGGGCCCAACACCACAGGATTGCCAAGGAGTGCGCGCCAACATCCCGCTTCATGAACAGGATTGTTCCAGGTGGGATGCTCCTGCGCGCGCTCGCGATGCTCGTGCCCCAAGTCCCCCACACCTGCGTCGGCTCCGCCCGAGAGTGAGCTCCCTCCTCGCCTCTACACATGCGCCGCCCTCGATTAAGACTGGGAAGACGACGTGCGTCACATCCGCATACGTGCAACTATGAGGGTCGGGGCCTCGCGCCGCGATTGACATCTCGCGCGTCGCCGCTCGATTCGTCAGATGTCAAGCGCGGCGCGCCACGTCGGCAACGGAATGAGATGTTTCGCGTTGGGGTCGGCGCGCGGCGCCAAGCAGATTCCTCGCGCGAGTTGGCGGCGTTCCAGCGCGCGGGGAAGGACTCTCGCTTCGCATCGGCGGCGGTCTCGGACAGTTTTTTCCGCGCACTGGGCTCGCTCTGTGAAGGAGGTGACGCCTCGCTGCGTTACCACGCGCGCGCTCACGGCGCGCCGGGGCCTCGCGATGCTCGAGCTCGGGGATCCGTTCTGCATCTCGAATATAGCGCAGGCGGTGCGCGACTGATTATATGCCGCATGCGCGGCGGCGCAGCTGCGTCGCATCGGCGAGCGCTTTGGGTCCCGATTTCTCGCGTTGGGGTGGGCGCGTGACGCCGGGCAGACCCCTTGCGCGACAGGGCAGCGCTCTGGCGCGCGGGGGGAGACCGGCGAGTCTCACCGGCCGCGGTCTCGGCGGCGATTTTTCGCACAGGGTCGGCACGCGGGCGGCGCGCGCCAATCAGCTTCCGCGCGCGACTGGGTAGCGCGTCGCGCGCGCAGGGGGGGGGGCTCGCGCGTCGCACCGGGGAGGATGCAATTTTTCGAGCTGGGGTCGGCGCGCTGAGACAAACAGACTTCCCGCCCGACTGGGCGGCGCACTTGCGCGCGGGGAGGACCCGCGCGCCGCGTCGGCAGCGGTCTGGGTTCGCGACTTTCTGCGCGGGGGCCAGCGCGCGGCGACAAACAGTTTCCTCGCGCGACTGGGCAGCGTTCGCGTGCGCAGAGGATCACTCGCGCGCCGCGTCGGCGGCGGTCTCGCGAAGATATGGCGGCGCTGTGGTCTCGATCCGCGAAAAAGATGGCGCCTCGCTGGGCGATGAGACACGCGCGCGCGGGCCCTTTGCGGATGCATCGCAGCCGCGTCGCATATGCGGGCGCCTCGAAGCGCGACCGCCGCGCGGGGGCTGGGGGGGCTTGCTTCAGAAAAGAAATGAACCGTTACCTCGGGATCGCGCAGGCCGCGTCAGGGTGCCTGGGGCGCCCGAGAATCTTCGGGCTTGCTGATGATTCGCCCCCGTGTACCAACGCGCGCATTGATTTTGCTACCTGTCCGACGTCTGCGGCGACTTGGGCTTGGGCGATCGGCCGACTCTGAAGTGCGGTTCGGCGCAGACGTCGGCCCTTGGGCCGTGCGCCCTCGACGCCGCGCGGCGGCAGGTCGGCGGGGCGCCGTGCGGGCGCGGGCTGCTCGACCTGCGGCTGGCACCGCAGGCCGGCGGGCGCGCGTTCGATGGGGCGCTGGCGCAGGCGGCAGCGGCCGCGGACCTCAGCGCGGAGGAGGAGCGAGCCCCGTTGCGCGGGATCGTCGGCCAGGCGCGGGGCGGCGAGCCATTGCAGACGCAGCTCCGCGCGCTCTGCGGCCGCCCGGAGCGAGCTATGCTGAAGGGCGCCCTGATGAGCCTCTTGCCCGGGCGCGATCAGCAGCGGCGCGATGCTCTTCCTTCTCTCGGGGCCCGCGCGATAGCAGGGGCCCGCTGCGCTCGGGAGTGCCGCGCCGCCGCCGAGGAGAGTCGCGGCGAGCTTGGAGGACCGAGAGCGGGCGCGTTCGAGGCCCTGCCTGCCCCGGCTGTTCTCGCCGCGGGGATTGCCGCCCACGCGGAGGACAGCGTCGTGGGAAGGCTGGAGGCAGCGCTCCACAGCGAGGACGCTAACTATCCAGTTCGGGGGCGATGCAGCAGGCACCGCCCGAGGATGCGGGCCGAGCTCGAGGGAGCTGGCTAGCACCTCGTCGTGCATGCGAGGAAGCGCACGGCGGCCAGGCTCCATGGGGTTGGAGGCCGCGGCCGGGCTTCCCGCAGGTCGCCGCTGGAGTCGGTCTGCGTCGACGAGGTCCCAGACCCCAATGAGCATTCCATGGGCCCCCAGAGGGTGCCGGCGCCTCATCGCGAACTGGGCGGCGGCGGCAGCCACCGGGAGCGGGGCGAGGGCCCGGGGCCCAGGGGGCTCATCGAGCTCCACGAGCTCCCGGGGATCCGACGAGGTTGACCAGCAGGCAGAAAAGCAGGTCCGACGAGGTCGACCTTGTCCGCGCGTCGAAGAGCGAGCCCGCAGCGGCGGGGCTCCACGCGACACTTCGGGGCGGGAGCCGCGCCCTCGCGCCGGCAAGGGGGCCGGGGGACAGCCCGCGGAGAGGGCGCCAGCTGCGGCGGGGACCAGCGCGACCCTTCCGGACGGGGGCCGCGCCCGCGCGCTGGCAGGCGCGACCGCCGCCGCGGGGCCCAGGGAGCGACTATGGAGCAGAAAACTGCCCGCGGCCTGCGCCCGGCTCGGTTCGCGGGGCATTTGATCAGTGGAAAAGCCGTCGGCGCGCTTCTGGGGTCGCCCTGGGCCCCCGTCGACCGGTGAACGCCCCCCGCTGCGTTTGCGCCCGCCCAGTTCGCGGTAGCGGCCCCCGCTCTGCTGCGGGCGGGGGGGGCCCATATGGAGAGGGGTACCTCTCGCGGTGGGGCGAGTCCTAGGCGGGTAGGGCTTCGGGGCCGCACAGCCCTCCTTTGCTCGGGGCGATCGAAATGGTGACGGAAAGAATGGGCGCGATGCCCAACTGCAGTTTCTGTTCATTTGCACGGGGCTCGCTGTCCGCGCCGCCGCGGAGAGAATGCCGCCCGCCCAACAGCGACCGCTGCAGGTTTTTGACAACAACATTTGTTGCTGGGCATTGTGCCCATGTTTTCCGCGCCCATTCCGGGTGTACAAACTTGCCGGGTCGGGCCTGCTGGATCGCCGCGCGACCTTGGACTTTTTGCGCAAGCCACTTCGGACCAAGGACCTCATTCAGGAAGGAAAAAACACACAGACGCAATTAATGGAAAACAAAACCCAGAAAATAGGGGGAAATATGGGGAATCCTGTTATTTGTGTGTATTTATTTGTGTGTCCCAGGGCCCCTTCACTCTTGGTCTCCTGTGGCCCACCCCCGGCGTCGCCAGCGCAGCCCTCGATCTAGGGGCGGCTCGGCGCCGTTGCAGGCCTTCTCGGAGGAAGAGAAGCCTCGCGCGCTCGCATCGCCGAGCTCCTGGAGATCCTGGGGCTCGCTGCGGCTCGTTGGAGCACCCTTAGGGGAACAAAAAGTGACATAAACATGAAAACTCTGAGATTCGCGCGGATTTCCAGGATCGGCGCTGGGGCCCCCCGGCGGCGCCTCCGGCGCCGCCCTTGGCGCGCTCCGCGCGCCAGGGAGGGGGGTCCAGCACCGATCCGAGAAATCCGCGCGGACCTCCCAGTTTCTATGTTTATGCCACTTTTTGGTCCCCTAATCCTGGGGATTCCAGGGGCTCTCTGGGGGTCCATTGGTGTCCTCGGTGCGCCCTACGGTATGCTGGGGTTTCTTGGCGGATCTTGTAGAGCATCCGGCGAGTTCCCCCAGCTCCCTTGAATTCGTCCTGTATTCTTCTGGGGGTTCGTGGCAGCTTCTGGGGCTCCCTGGCTGGAGGACTCCCGTGGATGTGCCAGTTTCGGCCAGTCTCCATGGGGGCCTCTGGGGCCCCCCATGAAGGTTTTGAGACAGGTGGGCCCCGGGAGCGCCGTCCTCTAGAGACCCCCAGGCCAAAAATCTCCAGAGAGGAGGCAAGTTTCTCTTGTGCTGCGCACAAGAGGGGAGACAGGCGCAGCACGCCCTCCGCACCGCCAGAGGGTGGGCCAGCCAACTTTCGCCCGCTGACGCCGCTCCTGTGGTACTCCACGGAACGCTCTGACCACATATTGCTCGCTGATTGACGGTAGTCGGGAGCGGCGCTCGTTGCAGATAGCGAGCGAGAGACAGATAGAGAGAGAGAGAGAGACGCATCAGAGAGGTGTGATTTCTTATTTCGATAGTTTTCATTTATTTATTTATATATATGTGCATCTATATATATATATATGCATATACATGCATATATAAGAGATGGGGAGAGAGAGAGAGAGAGAGAGAGAGAGAAAGAGAGAGCGAGAGCGACAACACGAGAGAGAGAGGGAGAGAGAGAGAGAGAGAGAAAGAGAGACAGGGAGAGAGACAGAGAAAAAAAAGGAATCAATCAGGGGGGCAATCCCAAGGCACGGCTAGCCAGCGCGATTCAAATTGTTGTCGCTTCGCGAATCCCCACCAGCCCATCCAGAAACGATGCCCAGAGGAATTGCCTCGATCAGAGAAGTGGGCAGCACACAGAGGAAGCCATTATGAGACATCTTGGGATATCTTGAGCCATCTTGGAGGTCATTTTGGGCTCTCCCAGACGCTCTTGGAGTCATCTTAATCCGTGCCCCCCCCCAAGAGGCCTCCATGTGGCTAAAACCTGTGTAGAATCAATGATTAGGCATTCTCGCCGAGGCCTCTTGGAGCATCTTGGGTGCATCTGGGGGGGCTCTTGGGGCCTCTTGGGGGTCTCTTGGGGGCCTCCGGGGGGCCTCTTGGGGGCCTCTTGGGGCCATTTTGGGGCCATCTTGGGACCTCTTGGGGCTTCCTGGGCGCTTCTTGGGGCCATCTTGGAGGAGTCGATCAAACAAGAGGGGGGGGTGAATTAGCGCCCCCCCTCGGAAGCCCCTAAAATCGCCTCTTGGACCCCTCTTGGAACGCTCTTGGAGTGCTCTTGGGCGCTCTTGGGGCCGTCTTGGGGCTCTTTTGGGGCTCTCTTGGGGCCCTCTTGGGCCATCTTGGAGCCATCTCCAGGCCTCGGATGGCCATCGGAAGCGAAAAGGCGAGAAAGCAAAAATCATTGATTTTCCTTAGGTTTTGGGACGATTTTGGCCTCTTCGGGGCCTCCTTGGGGAGCTGTTTGGCCACTTGGAGTTATCTTGGGGCCGTCTTTGGGCTTCTTGGAACCATCTTAGGAGCCATCGTGAGCGATCTTGCGCTATCTTGAGCCATCTTGGAGCTCATCTTGGGTTCTCTGAGGCGCTCTTGGAGCCGTCTTGGGCCATCTTGGACGCTCTAACTACCCGCGGCCCCCCCCGTCCAGGTCCAGGGGAGGGGGTAGGGGGAGGGGTAAACCCCTCCCCAAGGGGGAAGAGGGAGGGGTGGAAGAGGATCTGCTCTAGACCACCTACGCCCAGAGGGCTGGTGGGATTCGCTTTCGAGGCGCAGGAATGTCCAACGCGATAGTGTTTGTTGTTGGCATGGTCGTTCAAGTCGATCGTCAGGATCGTTGGCAGCGTGATCGCAGAGTATACGATTGGCATTGGAGGATTGCGCGATCGGCTGGTGAGCCTGATCTTGCTGTGACCAGAGCAGTCGTCTCTCTAACAAGGGCTCCGACAACACGTCTTCGAATCGGACCTCGATGGGTGGAGCGATCGGCCAGACTCGACGAGATCCGGTGGGCCCCCCCCGCCCTCTGACACCTTTGCCGCGAGCTCGGGTGTTGCCAGAGGTGCCCCTGGCCCAAGGTGCCCCTAGGATTTCCAAGAAGGCCCCCACGGTCTTCAGAGCACCCCTCGTCGCAGTATTCTTTATCATCGTTATTATCATTATTATTATCATGATTATTATTATTATTATTATTATTATTATTATTTTTTATTTTTATTATCATTATTATTATTATCATTATTATTATTATTATTATTATTATTACCATTATTATTATTACTATTATTATTAGCATTGTTCTTATCAGCAATATTTTTGTTGTTCTGATCCTCATCATTCCTATGATTATTCTCAGTCTTAAGGTTATTATTGTTGTTCTTCCTCTCTTTATTCCTACTCGTATTGCGAGGCCCAGGGGTCCCCAGGGGCTCCAAACTGGAGTGAAGCGCTGGGGTCATACCTTCGGGCGAAGAGAACTATGCACATGCACCGATCCTGACAACGCCCGTCCCTGACCCAGGATCGGTGCATACACCTTCCTGGCCAAGGTGAGAGGGCGTATGCACCGATCCTGGGCTCAGGATGGTCCTGGCCAGAATCGGTGTATGTGCACAGTTCTCTTTCCTCTATACCTGGGGCCAGGGGGGCCCTGCCGACGAGCGCCTGGGCCCGTTGGGAGGAGGGAGGAGGGAGGAGGAGGAGGGCGAGGAGGAGGAGGAGGAGGACGAGGAGGAAGAGGAGGGGAAGGAGGAGGGGGGGAGAGGAGGAGGAGGACGAGGAGGAGGAGGAGGAGGAGGAGGAGGAGGAGGAGGAGGAGGGTGCCCCGCCGCCCAGGGCTGGAGACGTCCATCACGCCGCGGGCCTGGCCGGCCCCTCCCCCCTCTGCGCGCGGGCCGCGCGGGCGCGCTGCTCTTCAGGCAGTGGCGAAGCGTCCTGGCTCGCCTAGAGGCCCACCTCAAACGACGCGAAGATCGGGACAAAATCGGATCGGGATAACTCGAAATCTCTGAGAATCGGCGGGTTTGGAGGATGTATTGGGCGCCGCGGCCGCTCCAGAGCGTTCCGGAACGCTCTGAGAGCGCTCCGGAACGCTCTGGAGCGATTTATCCCGATCCTAGCCCTGTTTTACCACCAAGCCATGTTCTGAGAACGTTTTGGTGGTTTCTACGACACGTCCTTAGAGCTCTTCTGGCCGAGATCGTCTTGTTTTAACACCTCTGGCTCCTGTTATGAGAGCATGGTTGGTGGTAGGCCCATAGGAACACTTTTGGTTTCGAGGAGCATTTCGTGGTAGGCCTATGGGAATGCCGGGACGGTCGGTCCCTGCTCAAGTTGTTCTGCGCCTCCTGCCAGAGCTGGCTGCCGGAGCGCGCCTGGCTTCCCGGGCCGCGCGGGGCTGGTCTGGGCGAGCCCGGTCTCGCTTGCAGGGCGATGTCCTCGGTGGGAGCAAGTGATGGGGAAAGGTAGCGAGAGAGAGAGAGGGAGGAAGAGAGAGCGAGAGAGAGAGAGAGCGAGAGAGAGAAAGAGAGACAGAGAGAGCGAACCATTCTATATATTCCAGACAGGCAGACAGAGCCCGCGCGCAAAAGTCCACCCGACGGGACTACGCGGGGTCGTGCGGAGCACCAGATACCTGTTGCCATGATGCTGAAAACTCAACGTCTGGTACAAGACCAGAAGCCAGCCTCGAGCTTCGCCCACTCATTTCCGCGTTGATCGTGTACTTCAGAATGTCATCCGTCCATCATTTTTTTTGGTCGCGCTTGTCGGCGATGTGCAGGTTGGTCAAAGCAGAATGGCGGATCCCAGACAAATGCGTTATAAGCCTGAATGCAACCGCAGAGCCACGGCAGGGACCAAAGGCGAGGGGCAGGGGGAAACGGAACGGGTCCAACAACACTAAGTCATTCGATCGCAATGCAACGTGACGCGCGTACATCCCCCGCTAGCCGAACAAAAGCTAAGGCGGCAGAAGCAGGATATCCCAGCGTACCTTCACGTCCTCGAGTACTCGTTCTTGTTCGCCTACTGCGTTGAGCTGAGCCTTCGAATCTATGCCGTCGGCTGGAAGAGGGCGTTCATCAGCAATTGGGTGAAGGCGGCTTCGGAGCGTCCACGCTGTATCTTTCATTCCCAGCCATCCTGTGGCGTTGGGTCCTCGTTTTGAACAGACAGCGCCCCGCGTCTCCTGCGTCCTCGCAACTCTCCTCTTTCCTCTTATCCTGGTCTCAGCCGTCCGCATGCCCACTTCGGCGCACCTGACATCATAGGGAGCTCCGCAGAAGTTCCCATAGGGGGGGGTATACCGTCTCCCCGCCCATGTCGGCACACCACTCACACGCTTCGTGGCCTCATGGGGAGCTCCACAGAAGCTCTCCGAGGGGGGGGGAGGGGCCGGGCGCCAGATGGTAGGTTCGCATGCCTGCTCAACACACTTTCGGCGCACCCCTCACGCGTTTCGTGGCCCATATGGAGCTCCACCTGAGGCGCCAGTTGCTAGGTTCCCTTGCCTTCTCCACATCATTCCAGCGCACCACTTACATGTTTCGTGCCCCCCCGAACCGAGGCTCCAGTGCCAGGGCCCGCATGCCTTTTCCACATAGTTTCGGCTTCCCCCTCACACGCTTCGTAGACCCATAGGGGGCTCCACCTGAGGCGCCAGTAGCAGGAATCGCGTGCGTGACCGCGCCCATTTCGGCACACCCCTTGCACGTTTCGTGACCACATAGGGAGGAGCTCCGCTGAAGGCCCCAGTGGCTGCGTTCGTAGGCCTTCTCCGCACAATTTCGGCTCACCCTTCACACGTTTCGTGGTTCTCCACATGAGGCCCAAGTGCCAGGGCCCGCATGCCTTCTCCACACTATTTCGGCACATCCTCACCCGTTTCGCAACCCCAAAAGGGAGCTCCACCGAAGGCCCCAGCCCAAAGGGTGCTCCACCGAAGACCCCGCCGCTTGCTGCTCCCCAGGGTCGCGCTGACAGACGCGCAGATCAGCCGTAAGTGTTTACATCCGGATGCAGTCCGTCATGACCGACCTCTGCGACCCAATCAGCAACGTCGCTCCGTCTTTCTCACGTACGCCTTCGTCCTTTTGCTGGCCTCCTTCCTTAGTTTACACCTGCCCTGCGGCACTCATAGTTGAATATGGTTGTGTCCTTTGCCAGGCTAGTTCATATTGTTGTCCAGGGGGGGCTGGTGTTTTGGAGTTCAACGTTCCAGGGCATCCAGGACCTCTCGCGGAGTATCGCCTCCCATCCTTTTGTGTTTACACGCGCTGGCCAAAGTCGAGCGCAAAAGGGCGTCAAGCTGTGAGGATAGGCTTCGAGTGGTTCGGGAGGCCGCTACATGGTACTGGCGGGCTTTGGATGATGAAGTCTTGGAAGGGTCCCCGAGGCCCTGGGAAGGCACCTCGGGAATCCTTGGAGGGTCCTGAATCGCAAGTACGATCAACGTTCGAACGGCCAGAGCGCCAAGGAGAGCGTCTTTCTATTTCTTCCGACAGCGGACGTGACTTGGGGGGGAGGAGGGGGGGGAGGTGGCCGGTCGCGTCACGATTCGCGGCGGCGCCGTTTGGAATGCTGAGGAATGGCTCATTCCCGGACGGCGCTGGCGCGAGTCGTGACGTGACCAGGTGGGAGGGGAGGCGGGAGGGGGCGGGGGCGGTCACGGGCCTGATCGCGAATAATCTTTATATATATATATACGCTTATTAAACATATCGGTTGTGTATGTGTATATATATATATATAGATTGCTTTAACCACAAAACGGCTCAAGCACATTCACTCACGCACACTTGCAGCCAATGCGTCCCCTCACTCGGGCGATGCGGTCCTGCACTCCTCCACTGGAAGCCATTCGGGCACGCGCAAGCATGTGCGAACGTGTGTGAGGCCATAACAGCCCATCTGACGCACCCAGAAGCATAGTTGGAGACACAGATGTACGCCACTGGCGTGGCGTGTCCACGCGCCCGCAAGCACTTACGGTTGCCCAGTGCCGTGCCGTGCCGTGTTGCGCGGTGCCTTGCTCCGCGCCCGAAAACAGATTCGGTTGCCCCGCGTTTGCTGCTTCACGGGCGCATTGCCTTCGCCACGCGTCCACCAGAATTGCGTGGGCTGCCCGCTTCCGTGCGTGCTGTGCCGCGTGTCGCCCTGCCCACGCGCTTGATGATGATGTCGATTGTTGGGTGCCGTGCCATGCCGTGGTCACGCGTCCGAGCCCTGACTCCGCTGCCTGGTTGCATGGGGCGTTCCGTGCCTACGCGCACGAAAGCAGATTCGGCTATTTTGTCGAGTGCTTTGCCATGCCAGCCGATGTTGTGCACAGGAGGAGGACATTGTGTTCGGGGTGGTGCTATTCCGCCAAGTTGCTCCCTGCTGTGCGGTCCCATGGCATGAGTCGCCCCATGCTCGTTTTTGACATGTCTGTCTGCCCAGCCTAATCGTAAAGGGCTGCCGCTGGCTTTTCAATGCGGTGAAATCTGCCAGGGCATATTGGGGCCTGGAAAAGCGGCTGCGAGTTTGATGCCACGATGGTGGTCGCAGGCATTCTGAATTTCATCATCACGGTATCAGCTCTTGGTGGTGACGCAGCATCGAGGATATTGTTTGTTCGTCGCTCCTGTCGAGCGCTTCTGTTTCACGCTGCACGCACCTCAAGTTCAGGCATTTCAGCTCACGCTGGGAACATGAATGGGTTCAATTAGGGAGCGCTTGACGAACATCTTGTTACTACAGAGAAACTAGAAGGTTGCGGCAGGTACCCCTTTTCATTGGTGTAGCATACGCCTGCACGATCTCCCGAAGCGTTCCTTCTCAAGATAGCATCCTGAGATCGCGTGTAGGGCACGATGGGTCTGCGTCGCATGTTAATTCACCTAGTGGTCACCATCTTGGTTTACAGTACACTTGTTCGGTCGCCGTGCCTATCATGCATCTGTACACTTGCAGGTATGAGCATGCAGAAAGCACGACGCCTGGAGCTGTCAACGTATCTGCAGACGTTGCCAGGCAAGGCCTCCGCGTCGCCACCCTCCTCTGAAGCCGCGGGCGTGACAGCGAGCGGTAAACATTTCCTTATCGAGTGTGGTGGACAACGTTAACATGCTGAAGATGATTCGGCTCTTCCGCCTCGCGAGGACGACCCGCACATGTCCGCCCTGCCCCAGCTCGTGCGCTTGCCTGCCCCGCCTCCGATCTCTCCCTGTCGCAAATTCCTGCCCGTAGCTTCCAGCCCGACCTTCTCCTCTGCCAGTTTCCTTCCGCCCCGTCGCCCAGGCCTCCAAATGAGGTCCTGCCAGATGTGGCGCGATGTGGGCCCCGATATTCTCTACGCCGACGTCGGCGATGCGTCGCCGATGCATCGGCGATGCACCTACGATGCGGCGCGATCTTCCGACCCTATTTGCTCGGACCCCATTTAGGCGGCATCCAGTCTTATCGCCAGGCTCCCATCGCCTACCATGCCCCGGGCCGTTGGGACAGCGGGCTTGGGGTTGCAGGAGCCTGCATGCTTCTAATTGCAGGTTTGGCCTGGGGAGAGTGCTGCGGGGATGTCTCTGCCCAGGCGTGCTGCCATGCAGGCCAGGGATCCTCTTCGACAGAGTGCCCGAGACGGGCTGCCCCGACGGACGCCCGCGGTTCAACTTGATCGAGTGTTCTACATTTGATTGCTTTGTCAGGCTTATCGGACGTTCAACCGATTAGATCCGTATCTCGATTGGCTTGATCGATCGGTTCGGACCCAACTTCGATTGTGTTGATCCACCGCTCGATCCGATCAACTGGATCGGTCCATCATGTCAGCTTCAGCTTCACCGTCCGTCCATGCGCGGCCGCCTCGTATCATCGATGTGGTAAATTTCGATTGTGCTCTTGGTTCTGTCGGTCCCCGCTCACGTCTTTCAGGGTGCGCCTGGAAAAGCAGCCGTCGCGCGGGATAGCACGACGACAAACATGCGCAATGTAGGGGAGGGGTCTGCACAGCCAGAGTTCCGACGGGCAGCCAGAGATCTTCAGTTGCGCGCAGGTGCTTTGGCCGCCGTGCACCGGCGGCAGCTGGCCAGGCGGTGCGTTTTGGTTCGCATGGAGCAGCGGTGCGGCCCAGCGTATCTGCAAGAAATGTCGGATTGGGGGGAGCGCCTCGGTGTTTGGGTGAAGCCGTTGCGGATCGAGGGCCTGGGCATGCGGAGGGCACGAGGAAGGGCCCAGCAAACGTGCTCGCGGAAGTCGCTGGTCCATGATGTGACCATCGTGAGATTGTTTCTCGTCGCAGGGCTGGGCCGCGTTTGCTTTGGACGGTGTTCAGTAATGCGGGAGCGCCAGGAGCGCGGAGTGTGCAGACACGGGCGTGGAGCCAGCGCGCGACTCTGAGGGAGGAGTCGCAGATTTGTGGGCCGATCCGCAGAGCCACCCTCGTCCCTCCCTCCTCCCGTTCTCCCTTCCTCCCGTCTTTCCTCTTCCCTCAACTCCCCCACCATCCATTTGGAGTCCGAGGGGGAGAATCGTCGCCCTACCGTCTGCCACTGAGCGGCTCACCGTCAGTTTGGAGTTGGAGCGCAAGAGATGATTACTCACGATGATTGCTCACGCTGCTCCTTTCTGCGGCCCCTCATCAGGACCGTGCGGGTGCTCGTCCAGTTCCGCACCCTGTGGATGCTCGTCCAAGGCAACTGGAAGACTAAACATTCTTAAGAAACTTGGCTTCGGAATGATGAGACATGTGCACCTTCCGCGAAATCACAACACTGTTCTAAATGACTTCCTGCTCTCGCAGGCCACCCGACAAACCCACGCTGGGTCTCAATCAGTATATCCTCGCATCGAGCAGTTTTCAGCGATGCCCCCCGCCTCCACTGACGCTGTGATCGAGGACGCTGGCGGCGCATCACCGGCCGCTCCCTAAGAGTGTGACGCGCATGTGGGCGAAGAGCTGCTTGGCGACTGATTCATGCTCCGGGCGTCCTGGGTGCCTGTCGATGAGTGTTTCGGGGGGTTGTTGAGGACAATTTGCGTGTGGTAGTGGGACAGGTTTATTTGGAGGCTGGGGGTCTTTGGTGTTCAGTCCTCAGGAGGTCCGTTGAGACTCTGCAGGCTTCTGGCGGGGCCTCTTGGGGCGTCTTGAAGGCCTCTTGGGACGCTTCTCGGGGGGCCTCTTGGAGGAGCTTCGTGGGGCCTCTTGGCGCGTCGTGGGGCCTCTTGCGGGTGTCTTGGGGGCCCCTTGCGGACATGTTGACGGTCTCGGCGGCAATGTTTCGGGAACAGACTCCCAAAGTCCTTCCGCTTTCGCCTCTTGGGCCCCTCTTCGGCCTCTCTTGGGGACCTCTTGGGGTCCTCTTTGGAGCCTCTTGGGCCCTCGTGGGGCAGTTTTGAGGCCTCCTGTTGGACAGTTTTTGACCCCTCATCTCTTGGGCGATTTCAGAGCCCTCCTGGGCTGTCTTGGAGTATTGAAACCTCGAAACTTCGAGACCGCCGAAACCTGTCAAACATCCAAAGGACATCTTTGTCTTTTGGCCTCTTAGGGCCCTCGCGGGGGGTGAGCTTGGAGCTCTCCTGGGGCGCCCTGGGAGCTCCAGAGGCCGCCTTGAGGCCATCGTGGGCCGTCTTGCGGCGCTCTTGGGCAATCTCGGGCCCTCTTGGGCTGTCTGTGGGCCCTCGTGGGACTCTCTTGGCACGTCTTGGGGCCCTCTTGAGCCGTTTCGGGGCTGTCTGAGGCCGCCGGAGCACTCTGTAATCTGAAGGGCCTCGCCTTCTTCCGCCGGCCCCCCTTCCGATTGCTTCATGACCACGATTGGTTAGTAGGTTGGTTGGTTTTCCTTGTCGGTTGGCTGACAGGCAACTCGGCTGATCGGCCTGCTGTCTAAAGCTATAATTGGCAATCGATTCGTTGATTTGGGATGTTTGCCGGCTGGCTGGTTGAGCGCACCTGCAATACTTGATGAGGGGTAGTGGCCGCGGGAGCGCTCTTCCACTGCAGTTTATCAGGTTTCCCGGTTTCAGGAGCAGGCACCCCTAGCCATTTACGAGGCCTCGTGGCCCTGAGTCTCGAGCCGAATTCTCAGGAAACGACGGGGGAGCCAAAACGCGCCCCCCGAACACGCATCCCAATCCAGAATGTAAGCTGTCCTGCTACGGATGGGAGGTGGCGCTTTTTGGCAGCCTCCGCGGGGAGGGTTCGTGGCTTCAGGAGCGCAATTGTGTAGTAATGTGCAAGAGTGTGTGCACTCGGGGGCGCAAGCTTGTCGCAAGGTGCAGAGAGGACTGGCCCTGGGAGCGCGACACCAGTGTAATGTACAAAGGTTGTGCGATGGGGAGCGCGGGCCTTGTGAAATTTCCTTGCCAGGGGTTATGGCCCCGGATGCGCCAACGCGTAGCAGTTCGCACGGGCTGGTGGCCTCGAGTACGCAAACGTGTGGTAGTATATCAGAGGCTGTGGCCTCGGAGTGCAGTCAACCATGATAGTAAGGATGGGGCAACTTTCGAAGGATGCCCTTGCATCCTTGCCCCTTCGATATTCGGCATCCTTCGGCATTCTGCTGCGCTCCGCACGGAAAACGCCAATATGGCGTTCCAAGGCCCTTGCATCCTTACCGCGCATTCTTACTATCCTGGACGAGTGTAGTGACTCTGGCGAAATGTATGCGGGATCGCCGTGGCCTCTGGAGCGCAGTTTGGCGGGCGCTGCGAGGCATTGCGGCCTGCGGAGCGCGAGCCCGTCAGGACTTGCAAGGAGTTTGTGGCTTCTGGAGAGCGTGAGCCTGGCGTGACTTAAAAGGGGGCTGTGGCTTCCGGAGCGCGAGTTTGACGTACACATTGCTCATTTCTGATTCTTCGGAAGTTCTTTGATTTTTGTTGGGGGGGCAAGATTCTTTCATTTCTAATTGTTCTACCCAGGGCTCTTCCTGGCCACTAGGGGGCCAGAAACAATTAGAAACAAGCACAATTAGAAATGAGCACGATCAGAAATTAACGACGTGTAGTTGAGTTGGGATGGTCGCCTCGGGAGCGCGAACCCTGCGAGATCTACCAGGGGCTGTGGCCCGGGGAGCGCGGTCTTTGCACACTGTGCGGTGGGTTTGGGCCTCGGGAGCGCGAGCGCGATGTAAGTTGTAAGTGGGTGAGGCCTGGGGAGCGCGAGCCTGGCGTCGTTGGCCAGGGCTTGCGACCTCGGGACCGCGAACCGTTTGTGATGTGCAAAGGGGCTGTGGCTTCGGGAGCGCGAGTTTGGCGCAATCGAATTGGGATTGTTGCCTCAGGAGCGCGAACCTTGCGCGAAGCGCGAACGTTGCATTATTTACGGCGGGTTTGGGCGTCGGGAGCGCGAGCGCGATGTGCGCTGTAATGGGGGTGAGGCCTGGGGAGCGTGAGCTTGGCGCAGTTGACCAGGGTTTGCGGCCTCGGGGCCGCGAACCGCTTGTAATGTGTGAAGGGGTTGTGGCTTCGGGAGCGCGAGCTTGGCGCCATTGAGTTGGGATTGTCGCCTCGGGGTCGCGAAGCTGGTATCATTTACCAGGGATGGCGGCTGGGGGAGCGCGAGTCTGCTGTAGCTTGCGTGTCCCAGGGCATCCCCAGAAACTGCTCAGGGAGGATGTGGCTTGGGAGTGGATCGGCAAATTGTTGGGCTCCACCCCTCGCGCGGACTTCAATCACTACAGCAGTGGAATTAGAACTGTTACAGAGATCTATATTTACCAGGTGGGAACCACGGTCAACATGGATAGTAAGGATTCACGATAAGGATGCAAGTGGCTTCGGGCGCGGCAGACGAAAGTGGCCAGGGGTGGGCCGAAGGGAAAGGATGCAATGGAAACCTTGGACAGCCGCTCATGCTTGCTACCGTGTTGACTGTAGATTGTAGAACTAGCGCAAGGGACAGGACAGTCTAGCCTGCGTAGCCTTTGCCCCCCCCCCAAGTGGGGCCGCGGATTTCGATTCGAACCCGTACCAGGGTTTGACCTGCCCGCGGAATCAGGTCAGGTCGGCGACTTTCGGCAGGAGGTAGCGCACCTAGGGAGCTGATTGCCAGGGACGTGCTCGACTTCCATCGGTTTGAGATTCTAATTGTTCGTTGCAGACGCGTCGATTTCGCCAGTCATTTGCAAGGGTCTGTCGGGCATCGCGGCACGTCCATCGATGCACCTGGATACGGCGTTGCGTGCTAAGCGCTGGGAAAGTTTTCGGTCCATGCCGTATTCCTTAGACCTTGAAGTGCAAACACCAGTGAGCCCCAGGATCCCCAGAGCCTCCCCTCCGCCGCAGGATCCGAAGCTGCTCGAGCAACTTCAGACCTCCTTGAGAACCCCCCGGGCCAGCGCGATATGCACAACGTGCACCACTTAAGGTAGCTTGACATGGTTTCTGGGTGGGTCAACTGAGTCCTGGATACCCCTTGGATCTCCCAACCTTTCTCTCTTCCCTTCTCTTCCCTCCCTCGAGCACGGGCCTTCCACATTTCAATGAAGGTAGGCATCAGTAAAGATATGTGCCAAGAGGTCTGATGTACGCCGTGTTGCCAATGCTCTGGACGGCAATGCTCATGATTGTTGTCGTCTACGTTTTCGCCGTCATAGCTATGGAAACAATCCTGGACGACTCGACCAAGGGTTCCGACTATTCGGAGGCTTGTCGCAACTTTGACACCATCGGGGATGCCATGATCACGCTGATGCAGTTCATGATCCTGTGGTGCTGTCGCGCATATCCGGCTGCGCGTGGGGAAACTGCGCACAAACGCTGAAGCGTGGCGTGGCCGCGCCATCGTTGCATGGTTAAGTTTGATCCGAAGTATCCGGTTCGATATCGATTCCAGCTGGCTCGATTCGATTCGATTCCGAGATTCCGGCGATCCAATGCGGCACGGTGTTTTCATGGCGTTGTTGTGCATCTTGGCGTAGCCGATCCGATTCAAACTCGACTCCGAGCCGATGCAGGCCCATCCGACGCACGTTCCGATTCGAATCGATCGTCCGATTCGATGCCGGCTGATCTTGCATTGTCGATGTGCCTCTTTGCGGCCATCTCTTTCTCCTCGTGCTCGTGCGTGTCTTCCTACTCGTTGTCCTCTTGCTCCCCTCGCTGCCCTCCCCGTCATCCACGCTGTCATCCTCGTCGTCCGCCGCCTTGTCGTCGCCATCATCCTTCTTTTCTTCTCACTCCCTCGAGCCCATTGAACAACATCCAGTTCTTATCCGATCGGGTTGAGGCCTCCCCCTTAGTGGGCCATTCGGGGCCTCGCCACGGAGTGGGCCTCGAAGTGGTTTTGGGCGGTCTTTCGGGCGTGGGGGGCGTGCTGAGGCAGTCTTGGGCAGTCTGGTGTCCGTGTGTCCTCAGCTTTGAGGCCACCTTGATATGGCTGGCCATGGGCCGTCTTGGGCTCGCACTGGGGCGGTCTCTGACCGTCTCGTAGCCGTCAGGGATCCCCCACCCCCAGGGAATCCTGGGAGTCGTCTGGGGGCCGAAGCGCTTCCGCGGACGCCATCCAAGACATAGTGATCTAGTGCCCATGAGCCAGTCCTGCTGCGCGGAAGTCGAGCATAGAACAAAAGTCTGTCTCATGCAAAGCAGTGCCTCCAGAGTGCCCTCTCGGCCCCCCATCACGTCTTGGTCGTGCGCGAGAATCAGACACGAAGGGGGTCAGGCATTGACCGCGCCACCCCGAGCCGCACGAGACCGCCTGCGGGGGCCCGTTTTGGGGGAGGGCGGGGGGGGGGGGGGGGCTCGGCAGGCGACGGTCGGGCGGGTCCCTTGGCTCGGAGGGCGTGGCATCTGATATTGATGCCATGCTCGGCGTTCATGGGGGTGCGTGCACAGTAATGCCCGACACACTGGAGGAGGCGAGCCAGGGTCCTGCGAGTGTAGGACGGACGGGCACGACATCAGGCTGATCTCTGCCACCACGCCAGGCTTGTGTGGAGGGCAAGGCTTCAATTCCGTGCTGTTCCTCTTGGGCGTTGGACCTGCCGACGGCGGGACGGCGCCCGTCGCGGCGGCCGGCCACTGCGCTTGTCGTGCACAGGAAGGCCTTTTTCGGTGCGGAGGTTGTCGAGTAGCCTGCGTCGTGGCCGCTTGGTTGCCATCAAGTACGGGGCGGAGGGCTTGCAGCACGGGGGTGTCGCCATCGGCTCTGGATTTCAGAACGCGGAGGGGCTGGTCACCAGCTGGTGGGGGCTCGTTCCAGGCGGGGTTGTCAACGAGGAGGATATCTCGATGGAGGGCGAGCTGGCTCCTCTGCGGGGCTTGGGGCGGCGACTCCGACGGCGTGGCGCTGGACCTCCTGCCGCGGTCGGCGAGACTGGCACGCCTGGGCTTCCGCCTCCCGTCGAGACTCCCGCGGTGGGGGTCGCTGGCGTCGCCGGGGGCCGCGAGTCGGTGGCGCCGTACCTGGCGGTGTTGCCTGGGCTCTCGGCCCCTCGCGACAGGGTGGCGTGGCTCATCGCTGAGAACGCTGAGGGCCAAGAGACGCTCGGCATGGAGGTGGCTCCGCGTGCCGTCGGCATCCTCGTGACGCATACGGGCGACCTCGTCCACAGGCGCGGCTCCTCCCTGCGGGTTCAGGCCGTGTCGAATGCTGAGTGTGGGAAGTTCGCGCAGGGATTCCGCGCTCGGCATGTTGGCGCGGCGGCGGCTGCAGGCCTCTCGGCGCCCCGAGCTCGGGCTCCGGATCCTCCGCGGGCGCTGGGGGTTGACGTCCGTACGTTCCTGGTTGACTACGATGAGGTCGGCGGGAGGTTCGAGATCTGGAAGAGAAGCCGTTCAGGAGGACAGAGAAGAGCCCATCGCCCTGGTGGAGGTCCAGGGCCCGCCAGGGGCCTTGCACTCCGCCCAGCACATGGAGCAATATATGGCGGAGGCGCGCGGCTGAGGCGGCAGGAGTTCGCCCACGGCGCTGGCATCCCCATGTCGGATCGGATGCGCCACGAGATGACTACCTTGACGGGGAGCTACCAGCTGTTCGGTGAGCACGACCAGCCCGATCTCGTCGCGTCGGCGGGCGTCGTGAAGATGATGCAGATGATGCTGGGCGCGGTCCGCGCCTGCTCTGCTGGCGGTGACATTCCCTCGTGGTGGATGGCTGCCGCGTACGAGGGCGAGGCCAACTACGGGGGCGCCATCGCGCCCGCGCTGTGCAAGTGGGCCGTCAACAAGCTGAGGGGCCCGAACGTGATTGTGGATGCTCGGGCGCGCCAGCTGCTGCCTGTGGCAGAGGGCGCTGCCCCAGGACCGACGCTCAACGACCGCCTGACATCCGTGGGCGGCCAGGCCCCGGCGGCTACGACGGCGACGCTCTCGCGCAAGAGGCGCCGCCCCAGCTGGGCGAGAACCTTGCCGACCTAGAAGGGCAGGCGGAGCTTCAGGCGCGGGGGGGCGCTCGAGATTTTTACAAGCCGCCAGAAGCGGCCCTTCGGGACTTGCTCTGCGACAAGGCGTCTGGCCACAGGATGGGCGCTTGTTCGACTACGCTCGCGCCGTGCCAGCGCGATCGCCCGAGAAGAGGGCCAGCGCCCCCGTCGTCTCGGTGCTGGTCGGAGACCGTGGCCGGTCTTATCTGGAGGGCGCAGGTGAGCGCATGCTGGATCCTTCTGACAGCAGCAGTTTTGATGATGGTGCTGGGCGGTGCTGCGTGGGCCCTCAGCTGGCCAGCAGCCCGACGCTCTGCGCCCGTTTTGCCCGCGACCTGGAGGCCAGGAACATGTTGGTCTTTGGCGCCTGGGCGCATGAGCGCACTAGTTTCTTTTTTTTGTGCGTGAGAAGAACGGGGAGCTCCGCCTCATCCTCGACGCGAGGCGCGCCAACAGGCGCTTTGCCCCTCCGCCTCGCGTCGACCTTTTGACGGCCGAGGGCCTTGGCCGCGTCGAGGTTGATCTCCCCGATGGCCTCGATCTCCCCCCCTGTGCTGCGGCGCGGCAGACGTGCAGGATGCGTTTCATCGCATGGGCATCCTGGCTTGGCTGCCCCGCTGGTTCGGACTCCCGCCCGTTCGGGCGGCCGACATCGGGCTCCTGGAGACGCTGGGCGGACCCGTCGGGCCTGACGAGATGGCGACCCCGATGCCTCGGAGCCTGCCGATGGGCCTCTCTTGGAGTCTGTTCCTGGCGCAGGACGTCGACGAGGAGGTCGCCAGCTGGGTCCTGGAGCGCGGAGAGCTGCTTCGTGACAGGGGGCAGCCGCTCGCCCTTGCGCCGCGGGGCGCCGACGCCCCGAGGGCCCGCCGCTACATCTATGTGGACAGCATCGGGGTCTTCGGCTCGGACGGCAACGTCGTGGCAGCCATGCTGGAGGACGTCTGCGCGGCCTTTGAAGCAAGGGGCCTAGCCGTGCATGGGGTCGCCACCTCCGACTCGGGCGTTGGGGCGCTCGGCGTGCTGCTGGATGGTCGTCGCCGACGCACTAGGCGGACGGCCAAGCGATTCGGGAGGGTGCGGGGCGCCCTGTTGGCTCTCGCTGGACGGCGCCGCGTTCCGGGCCGTGAGGTTGAAGTGGTCCTGGGCCAGGCCACGTCCTGCGGGCTGGTGAGGCGGGAGACGCTCTCTGCGTTCGCCACCGTGTACCCCCTCATCAGGAAGCACTCCGACCAGCCCGTCGCCCTGTGGCCGTCGGTCGCCGACGAGCTAAGGGCTTTCGCTGGGCTCATGGTGCTGCTGGTCTCGAGCTGGGAGTCCGACTGGAATCCGCTGGTCGTGGCCACGGACGCTTCGGAGATGGGTTGCGGCATTTGTTCCCGCTGGTTCGACGCCCGCGAGGTTGCCGCCGTTGGGCGCTGCCGCGAGCGCGAAAGCTACCTCGCCGAGGACCACGTGGGGGCCCGCGCTGCCACCCTTGGAGAGACCCCGCCACATGCGGGGCCGCTGGGCATGGCGGGGTGTCTGGGCCGCGACGGGCAGATTGCCCACCAGCGTTTCGACGAGGTGCCCAGTTCCATGACGGAGCAGTCTAGCTGGACCGTGGTCGGAGGCTGGAGGTTCCGCGAGCCCGAGGACATCATGGCCCTCGAGGCCCGCGGGATGCCGCGCGGGCTGGAGAGAGTGGGCCGCGCCAGATTTGGTCGCAATGTTCGCCAGTTTCTTTTTGCAGATAACCTCGGTCTCGTGCTTGCAGTTGGCAGGTGGCGGTGCCGCAATTTCAAGTTTTGGGCCATCTTGCGCAGGATGGTGGCGTGGTGTTTTAGTCGCAGCTTTCATCGTTCAGTTCGCTGGATTCCGTCTACAAAGAATCCCGCCGATGCTCCCTCCCGCTTGTTTCAGCCCCAGCTGAATTCGGTCGAGAGCAGAATTGGTGATGATGGCCGCCCTCAGCCCTGTGAGCGCACCCCCCAGACGGTGACAGACCCCTTGGAAGAACGGAGGAGCCCAGGTGCCAAAGAGGCCTGCCTAGTTGTTCTTTTAGGAAGCCCCCGCGCAGTCCCCGTGAAGTTCCTGAACCTCAGCGGTTTGTGCTCAACCAGGTCCGTGGCCCTCGAAGTCCCCAGAGTAAAAAAGAGGAGATCCCGAGGCCTCCGTGGTGCCCTGCTACTGTAGACATCCCGGCTCAAGCCTCGTTTCGTGCAACCGAACCCTTTCTACATCGATTTCCGGAGTTCGGGCGTTAGCCTTGTCTCAGCAGCCGGCTGCGCCGACTGGGGGGCCCCAGTCGGAGGCGGCGCCTTCGCAGCGCGGTGGGCCCGCCCTAGTCGCGGCCGCGTGCCTCCCGAGTGGTGAGCGCCAAGGGGGCGGCTGGCGCGAGGGCCTTGCCTCGGGGCGCCTCGGCCCGAACGCGGACCGAGGCGCTGTGCGCCCGCGGGGCTCATGCGTTCAGCAATGCCAGCGCCAGCCAAGTGACCTGCATCCCGCGGGGGACCTTGGACGGCCCCCCGGCGCAGTACACCGACCATCAGACCGAGCTGGCACCCGCGGCCACGCGCGGCATAAAGCTCCCGGCAGTAATGGTTCACGCCCAACTCAAGGCAGGGAGGCAGGGGCCGCGCACGCGGCAGCGCAGTTCAAGGGCTCTGAATGGTTGGCACAGCCTTTGGGGGGCCTTGCGGCTGCCAAAGGCCCGGCAGGTCTGGCGCGCCGTGATCAGGGGGGCGGGCAACTTGCGTCGCTACGACATGGCCCTCGTCACCTACCTCGTATGGAGCATCTACGCGCGGCCAATCCAGCTGAGGACCCTCAGGCCCCAGTTTTCGCGCGCCCCGAGTCGGGTGGCCACGTGCTGGGCCCCCCAGCTCAACCCCGTCTTCGATGGAGTGCCCGCCAAAGCGAAAAAGTTCGTTACCATCGAACTGGGCCGCGCGTGGTCGGCCGCGATCGCTCCGATGCTGGGCGGCCTCAAGTCCAGATCACCTGGAGGAAGGGTCTGGGCGTTCAGCCACCCCCAGCTCGCCGCCACCGTGCAGAAAGCCACGCAAAGCTTGAAGCTCAACCTGGTGGGTCACCAGTCCAACCACAGCGGTGTCAGCTCGGACATGGCCCCCTGCAGGCGCACCCTCGCGGAGGTCACGAAAGAGGAGGCCAAAAGTCAGATTGGTCGATGTTTCGGCACGCGGAGGGGCCCCGCCTGAGTGCTACATCGGCCGCCCACCCTCCGTGGCCCCAGTCGCACGCGATCGCGTGCGAGTAGAGATTCGTGGGGGCACGGCCATGCGCAGACAAGGCCCGTTTTGCATTGGCAATGAATGAGCGGCGCCTTTTCATGTTAATCATAGGCCACCGGTTTCGAGCACCTGCTCATTTTGTCAAGAGTGGCTTCCTTGTACGTTTCATTGAGGATGAGGCTATTTCAGACCTACTCTCGTTCAGGTTCCGCTCCGACATGAGAGCAGGGAAGATAGGTGCAGTCGCGATCTTGGTATGTAGCAGTGCTCTGTCTAGGAGAATAGTGCGAGTGATGCCCGAGGCGGCCAGGCTAGGGCTTCCAGCAATACTTAATTTCTTTAGCACCGACGCACATGTTATGACACGGTTTCCGACATTGCATTGCGCGCAATATGCTTCGCACATGTGTAGATAGTGTGGCGCGTCCAGGCTCACCGTTCACTCCCTTGTTTGTAATGTATTGCCCTCCCGGCACCAGCCGCCTTGGGCTACGGTGCCCTGGTGCCAGGTTTCGGGACGGCCACAGGAAACATCTTTCCTGCCCTCGCCTGTGTGAACTGGTGCCCCCCTCGTTTCCATGAGGCCGTCGCTTTCACCTTTTTAAGCCCTTTACGAGCTGAATGCCTTTCGGTGTGAACAGCTCCTGTTTTGGGAATATGATCTGGGTGTGGTTTCCTGCGAGAGGGGTTCAGGACGTCCGCCTCTCGGCCTCGGATGCGAGTCGCTTAGACCAGCGAGCGTAGTAGAGAGAGCTGTTCCCCGCAGAAAACCAAGGGTTAGTCATGAGGGTGCGTGCACAGCAGTGACTTAGCAGGGCTTGGGCTGTCGGTCTCATCGATCCACATCTTTGCTGCTCTGCAGTCATCCAGGCTCCCCGCCCTTTCGAGCCGCCTCGGCTCGCCTTCCCTTTCTTTTCCTTTTTTGCCTGGGTATGGTTTCCTGCGAGAGGCGTTCAGGACGTCCGCCTCTCGGCTTCGGATCCGAGTCGCTTAGACCAGCGAGCTTAGTAGAGAGAAGTGCCCCCCGCAGAAAACCAAGGGTTAGTCATTGGGCTTCCTTGTCTCATGAGTGTCTGCGTGGGGGCTCTCCTGTCGAAGGCTGATGTCTGCACGGCGCTCGTTGTGCATGGAGTGGCCGTGATGCGAGCGTCACCGGGGATTAGTGGGCGTCTTGTTTCCCAGGCCTCCAGCGTCATGATTTTTCCATAACGTCGACCCCCAGAGGTCTCGACCCATTCCCAGGGGCCCCCAGAGGCCGACAGTAGTCGGGGGCCCCCTAACGGTGTGGTGTTCACACTGTGTGGTGAGTCGGTGGGGATTCGGGGTCACCGCACGGTTTCGGGACTCGAGTCCCTCTCCAAGGATGTCTCGGGCGACAGGGGCCTCCGAGGTTCCAAAACCGTGCATTGACGGACCGTGCGGTGAGGTCTTGGGGGATTTCGAGGTCACCGCACGGTCTGTCACCGCACCGTTTCGGGACTCCAAAAATAGCAAGAAACCTCCCGTCGTGATTTTTGCATGACCCGAGGGGGTCGGGGTTCGCGGAAGGCACGAGTTTTGATGCCGTGCCGCCCTTGAGCCTTGAGAAGGGACCGAGGCGCCACCTTCCGCGAGTGGGGGGGGCCTGCGCCGCGCTGCGCCCCTCCTCTTTCTCCTCCTCCTTGATCCTCCTCATCCCTGATCCTCTACATCCTCGACCCTCCTCTTCATCCTCGATCCTCCTCCTACTCCTACTCCTCCTCCTCCTCCTCCTGATCCTCGATACTCCTCTACATCCTCGACCCTCCTCGATCTTCCTCCTCCTCCTCCTCCTCCTCCTCCTCGTCCTCCTACGCCTCCTCCTCCCTCTCCATCCCATCCTCAGTTTTGGAGGGAGAGGGTTGGAGGGCCGGATCCGGTCAAGATCTCCCATCTTCTTTGGCGTCGGGCTGGTAGAGACTGGGGCCAATGCAGACGGGCGTCAGCCAGAGCGCCAGATCTTGCAGGATCCTGCAAAGCCAGGGTTGCTCTGCCCCGGGAGAGCGCGCAGGATCCTGCAGGAACTTGCGGTATTCTGCAAGGTCTGACTGACCCGGGTTTGCATTGACCGAGTCAGTGCGTCCCCGATAGCGGAGGATTTGTCTTATCCCGGTGGGGGGGGGGCGGCGAGGTGGGCTTTCTTTGAGTGGCGCGCGGCACAACGAGGCACGGCAGAGGGCGGTGTTCGCAGCATTCTTTGGTGTCGCCGCACAGTCGTCCTCCTTGTGACCAGTCATAATGGCATAGGGTGCTTTCTTGGCCGTGTACGGTTCGTACGCACGCGGAACTCCGAGCGAGCGGAATCGAGACTGAACGGAAGTAGGACAGAAGAGTGGCTGCTTTAGAACTGTTGCTTTGCAAGGGGCAGGACGCGACGTATCATTGCAAGGGATTTGCACACGGTTGCCGCTTCAAGCGCGGTGGCGGACCCTCGACAGTGTGGCGGCAATTTACAGGCCGTTGATATCGTCGAACTTTTGGTTGACCTTCTACTTCTTGATTTTTGTTCTGCTTGGTCCCATTGCCCTGATGAACATCGTGGCAGCCTTAGCAGAGTCCAGTGACTTCTCGGCCGTCCTGGCCATGGAGGAAGATGAGGAGGCACACAGAGCCCTGCTGTCGTAATAACAGTTTCAGGCCCCACGCGAATTGATTTCGTTCGGGTTCGGCGTTTTGCATCCTAGCAGCTATTTGTATGGGTATAGTTTTTTTTTCTAAGGGCGTGATGATTTGTCCGGAGCTAGGAGGAGGAAGAAGTAGAGAATAATGAGGAGTAGGATGAATAGGAGGAGGAGGAGGAGGAGGAGGAGGAGGAGGAGGAGGAGGAGGAGGAGGAGGAGGGATGAGGGCGGCTTAGCAACTGCTAGTTTGTGATAGGGACAAGTCGAGGATTTGCCGGAGTTGATCGGACCGTGTGGCAATGAGCCGTACGGCCCCCCGCGCCATTGATTCTTCTTGTGGGATGAGGGGAATAGGCCAACAAGTGGAGGAGCAGCATCAGGGCTTAGGAGAAGGACGTTGAGAAGGATTATGTTCTCAGGTTTAGTGTGGCACCATCAGTTTGAGAGAGCGTATCTTCACGGCACTCCGAACGCCTGAATTCGCGACGACACGAATCTGCGTTTCGGCCTCGTGGCTGGCTTCTTCAGGTGACGGCGATCATGGTCGAGTCCTCCCTTCGGACCGCCAACGAGGATCAGGAGGCAAAAAAGGCGTGGGAGACCATTCGGGGTTTGCCAAAGGTACCCCTGGCCCAAGGTGCCACAGCTTGTCGCTCAATTTTGGGGCCCTCTGGGCCTCGTGACGGGGTGCTCTAGAGGCCGTGGGGGCCTCCTTGGAGATCCCAGGGGCACCTTGGGCCAGGTGCACTTCTAGCACCCCCCGAGCCATGCGGAAAAAGAACATGATGCCGAAGTTGAAGAGCCTCTTCGAGACCCTGGACACGAGCCACGACGGCTTCGTGGACTTCGAGGAGCTCACGGGCGCCCCCCCCGACATCAAGGAGGCGATGCAGCACATCGTCGGCCTGGACGAGCTCGAGGAGATCTTCAACATGTCCGCGGCGCCTCTCGGCCGCCCTCCGCCCAGCCTCCAATCGGACTGGGACAGGGCGCGGATAACTCCGTTCCAGAGCGTTCCGGCACGCTTTCAGAGCTCTCTGAAACGATCTGAGAAGGCCGCGGCGCCTGATACAGCCTCCAGAGCCGCCGGGTCTCAGAGATTCTCGATTCTCGATCTATCCTCACCCGTATTTGTCCTCGTCCTGGTTTCGTCTTCCCGAGCAACCGCAAAAGACCAACGGCCAGGCGACATATAGGTGCCAAGGCCGCCAGCCCCTCCGATCGGGACGTCCGGCCACCTCCGGGGGGGCGTGTGCCCGAGGTGATCCATCCACGGGGCTGGCGCGCGTCCAAAGACCAGCTACGGGGCCTGTGGTGATCCGGCCACGCGACCAAGCTGAGGTGATCCAGCCACGGGGCCTGTGGTGAAACAACACGCTCGATCTGGACATCGGGGCTGTCGAACTGGACTCTGGACTGCGGGCTGCTCCGCGCTCCAGGGGCGGATCGGGCGGGCCGGGTCAGGGTCGGAGTCAGCCCGGGGATCCACCTGGACTGGGCAGGGGGGAGGGGGAGCGCTCTCGGTCACTGGTGCAGCTTCTTTGCTAGACAGGCCGCCAGGGTGGCGCCAGTCCCTCCTCCTCCTCCTCCTCCTCCTCCTCCGTAGCCATTTTGGCTCAAGGTGATGTCTCCCCCAGGGGAGAGAGCGGATACCGCTAGTCCGCGGCAGACAAGACTTCCTGAAGTCTGGCAGGACCTTCTTCACACGCACCCCGCGCTCGGGGCGGTGGGTAAACGGAGTCGTTTCCTGTTCCTGCCGCCCCGAGCGCTCAGAGATCCATGCGCGCTGAAGGGCACGATGCTGCGATGGATGGGAGTCCTGGTGGTCGTGTACAGCGTGTTGGCAGCAGCTCAGGCTCGAGCAGGTGTGCAGCTTCGGACGGAGAGCGAGACGCCTCTCGCAGTGGTGATGGGGGCCCGCCGGGGGCGTCGACAGCGCGAACGTGACCGACGTGCTGCCGCGGGCTCCGCTGGAGGTCTGGCGCGGGGGACCCGCGATCGTCTCCAGGAGAGGGACCGCTGGAGCCAGGGCGGCGGGCGCAGCGGAGGGCGTGGCGGCACTTCGGGTGCAGCCGCCAGCCAGTCCGCCGCGTGGGTGCCCATCGGGCCTGTGGCGACGACGCCCGATGCAGCTGGCCACGCGGCTGCTGCCCCTGCCCACTTCGCGCCGCCAGGAGCCACCCAGACCGACCCAGGGATGGCGGTCATCTCGGCGGCGGCGGGGCTCCCAGAGAGCGTCGCGACCGCCCTCTCGCAGATCATCACGCCCGCCACGAACAGCCTCAACGCGACGACGGCGGCGGCGCACCATCAGATGGCGGCGGTCATCACGACACATGCCCAGGAGTGCACGGCGAGGTTGGCGGTCGTGGGTGCGGATGTGGCGCGCACGCGGGAGCGGCAGGACAAACTGGAGGCTTCGAATGCTGAGCTGTAGGCCAAAGTAGAGGGCATCGCGGTGGCGTTCGAGCGGGCAGAGGCGCAGGTGCTGCTCTTCCAGGCTGCGCGGCAGGAGATGTGGGACCTGTGGCCCCAAACTTGTTCCAGATCCAGGTGGAGTCAGGAGTCACAGGAGCGGAGGTCATCAGTGGCCTCGAGGAGTTGCTCGCGGCGGCGGCGGTGGCGGCTGGGCAATATGCGTTGCACTCGCTGCCTTATGGGCGCATCTACGTGCTGGAGCTCACGGGCGGCGTGGTTGGCTATGAGAGGGCGAAGCGTCTCGTCGGCCAGCTGCGTGTCCCTGGAGGCTGGCGCAGCTTCACGGCGGGCGGCCGAAAGATGTTCATCAATGTTGACAAGTCGAAGCGCACGCAGCGGGTGGAGCTCCACACGAAGCGCCTGGCTCAGGCGCTGGCCGAGGTGGTAGGCTCTCCTGAGAGATGGTGGCCCAACAAGATGCGTGCGGAGGTTAGATTCGATCATGAGCCTGTCGCCAGTGTCCTGGTCACCGAGGAGGACACCCCGACGCAGCTCCGCTGGTCCAACCAGTTGGTGGCGAAGTTGGGTGTGGACAAGTTCAAGGTGCAGGAAGTATGTGATAGGATGGTGGCGGTTCTGCGTGAGGTGGAGTGGTGTCCCTAACGCGTGCTATGCGCGATGGCGCGTTTGGCAGTACCAGTGCACGGATGTCCCGGACAGCCCCCTTAAGGTCATTTCGTGGAACGTTCGCGGCTTGTTGCTGCGAGATCTGATACGTCTACGACGAAAGCTTTCCATCCTGAGGTCGTACATGGCGAAGCAGTATATTATCATGGTGCAGCCGTACCGTTATACAGTCAACTTCTCAGCCCTGACAATGGGGTGCGGTGGTGGAGTTGCGAATATCGTGCCCTCGTCTGGCCCACAGGAATGGGCGATGGTGCACCCTTCGTGGCACCCTATCTCGACGTGCACTGAGCTGGTCACTGGGCGAGTGCTCATGGTGGGGATCAGTGTGGCGGTCCGTCGTCCTGGAACGGTTGCTCACTTGCCTGCGGCTAGCGATGACTGCCGCGTGGGCATCACATGTCAATCTCTCGGCGAATGACAAAGCGGCTGTTGCTAGAGCCTGGAGCAGCGCGACGTGGATGGCCCGCAGGCGTGCGCATAAGGAGCTGCGCGTGGCAGCGGGCGACTTCAACTTGCCAGTGGGGGACCGCCGCTACTACAGAGTACCGACCACGGCGGCGCTGCGCTCGCCGATTCGGGGCCGTCAGGCGAGGTCGTTCTGGCGCGACCTGTTCGACGAAGGCGTGGGGATCAACGGGAAGGAGTCCACCAACTACGGCGGGCACTCGGGATCCGCCCCCACGCTGGATAGTGTCTGCATTCGCCTCCCGCGCGATGCCTACCCGAGAATGACAGCAGCGCGAACGGTCGATACCAGTCTCTCACTGCGCAGGCTGAGTGGCCATGGCGTGGTAGACCTTGTGCTGGGTCTTCGTCGTGCGAGACCGATGGCTGAGCGGAGGGTTCCCACGTTTGTCTTCTCGGCTCCGATGTGCCCGCAGTACTTCCAGGGGATCCATGCTGCTGAGCGGGACCTTCTCCATGCGCGTGGCGATGATGGCTGGCGCTCATGAAGAATGGGCTGCAGCGAAGCGGGCAATGGTCTCGGCGGCGAAGGCCACGAGGAACCACGTGCCTGCGCTTCCTGGCCTGCAGTCACTGTAGAGGGTGTGGAGCTCAACACCATGGCCATGCGTTCGGCGGCTAGAGCTATATGCTTGAACGACGCCACTACGGCGCGCATGCTGCTGAATACCACCCTTGCGCGCCGCCGCATTCGCGTGCAGGGTGGTAGGGTGGAGGCTGCCGACGCCCATGTATTCGGGGGGGCTGCGCGGACCTCCACGGGGCGCATGTTGGATGAACGGCGGCAAGAAGCAGCCCGGCGCGCCCGTCGCGCGTTTTCGGCGGCTCAGAAGCAGGAGGGCGACTACTGGAAGCGGAAGCAGGGGGGCATCCTGAAGAAGGCCCAGTTGTGGCTCCGCAATCATCTCGTCTGGCAGCTCAACAGAGTCAAGGTGTGCGCGGAGGCGAGGGGGTTCTGCAGTGACGGGCATGCCAGCTCTCGGGCCCCGCCCTCGGGCGCCCCTGAGGCGCCTGCGCATGCCTCCCCGTGCGCGGTGAAGGATGCTGGTTTCATGCTGGATGCAGTGCGTGAGTGCTGGGGCCCTGTCTTCAGAGAGAAGGATATCGGCGATGACGCGGCCACGGTGCATCTCGAACGATGGTTCGCTCCTGCCAGCCGCCGCGAGGACTTCGCCTTCAGTGAAGTGGATCTCATGCACGCAGCGAGGCGTGGTAGAGACCCCTCTCCTGGGCCTGACAGGTTGCCGTGCGTCGCGTGGGCGAGGGCGCTTGCAGCGGTCGCCTGTCTCTTTCGGCTCTGTCAGGAGGCGCTCGCGGGGCTGGGCTTCCCTGGCGGCTTCAACCGCGGGCTGCTGGTGCTGATTCCGAAGAGTGGCGAGGTCTTCTGCGCCTCAGAGGTCATGCGTCGCCCTGGGGCGCTGCGGCCGCTCATGTTGCTCAACGCGGACAGGAAGCTGATCGCGACGGCGGCCAACCATGAACTGGCGGCAGCGGCGCAACGGGAGGCAGCGGCAGTCCAGCGTAGCTTCGTCCGAGGCAGGTCCTTCATCCCGAACATCATCCACCTTGACTGGGTGGCACGTGCACTCAGTGGCATCTGCGGGGCGGGAGGAGGTCACCCTGCGCTGCTCACCTTCGATGTGAAGGCCGCCTTTCCCAGTGCCAACAGGCGCTGGATGATGCTGACCTTGGGCAAGTGTGGCAGATGCGAGGCCGCCATGACCCTGGTCACGGCTGTGTGCGACAAGCAGGTGCGTGGCTCGGGGTTGGCGACGACTCGAGGGAGGCCGTCACGGTTCGTCTTGGGGTGCTCAGGGATGTCCGATGTCAGGCCTTTTGTGGGCCTTGCTCTTTTCTCCCTTCCTCGAGCACCTGGCCTCTGTGCTGGACGCGCCGTGGCGTGGGCGCGGGGAGTCCTGGGATATCGAGTGCCCTATTGTGCTGCGCAAGGGTGACGTCAAGGGCTGTGCTGATGACGTGGGGATCGTGGTCCGCGATCTCGCCTCGCTGTCGCCGATCGGGTCGGTCTTCAGGGCGATGGCGGCCTTCGCGTGCCTGGAGCTCAACTTGGCCAAGTGTGACTTGGTGCCGATCTGGGCGCCGATCCCGGAGGCCCGCACCATCTGCGTCAAGGGCTCCTTGGATGCCGCGGTGGGCGGCTTGTCGGGCTTCGCGATCACCTCCATGGCCAAGTACCTGGGCTGCTGGCTGGGCCCTGGAGCGGGCCTCGGCGGGCAGTGGCATGAGCCTGCTGCCAAGTTCGCCGCGAGGGCGCCCGCCTTGGGCGCATCAGCACTATGCAACGACGCGCTGACCCAGGCATGCAATGGCTTGGCGGTCCCATGTTTTCTCTACGTTTGCATGCTTCCGCTGCCCGATGAGGTGCTGGGCCGCGAGCTGGACCTGATGCGCGTGCTGCTGCGGGCGCCGCCGAAGGCCTTCAGGAAGGACTGCCTTCTTTCCATAGGCAGCAGCCTGGGCCTCACGGCATCGCTGTCGCTGCTCGCCTCGACGGCCGCCGCGAGGATGCGGGTCGCGTTCAAGATGCAGAGGGAGTGGCGGGGTCTGCTCGCGGGCGTAGAGGACCATTTCCTGACTGTGTGCGGCTCGGCGCAGATGGTGCTGTCGGATCGACCGCAGCCCCCTTCACCCCGAGCTGGTGGCGTGGCCGTCGAGGCCCTGCGCGGCGCCTGCGAGATGTGCTCGAGGGCAAGGCGCCGCACTGTCGGCCCTGGCACCGCGACATGGCGGAGACGAGCCTGAAGAAGGCGCTGCGGATGACGGAGGAAGCAGAAGTTGCGTGGCGAACAGAGCCACGGCATGAGGGTGAGCGTAGGGGAAAACGTTTTTCTCTCCAGTCCTCCTTTCGCTCCTTCCTCACGTCCCTCCCTTACGCGGATTGTTTTCCCACCGCGCTCAGGAAACGTATTGCTGCGCGGGGTGTAGAAGCTCCTCCCATCAGTGTGCTGAGCAGGCGCTGGACGGCTTTGAAGCACGTCCTGCTGACTAAAGGGAGGGGGTGAGGTGGGCGGTGATGAAAGTCCTAACTGGAGCGTGGCCCACAGCGGCCCGCATGCATGTATCCATATCTATTCGTTCGGTCCCATGTAAGTTTAGGCGCCAGGAGGGTACAGACTCGATGGCACATTATCTCAGATGTCGTCACTTGTGGTGGGCGGTCTGTTACCCCAGAGAGCTTTGTTCTAGTTCAGCTTTAATGAAGTTGTGCCTGGGATCAGCCCAGGATCATTCCTCGACCGCCGACGACTCGCTCGATCGGTCGGTCTTGAGGCTTCGCCTGACGCACCAATTGCACTGTATCGTTTCAGCGCACTCTGGTTCCGGGCCTCAGCACTTTCTTCGTTGCCTGGAATCTGTGCGTGCGCGCACGAGTAGGTAGATGCCCCCCCCTTTGGAGCGACGTTCGCTCCTCCTCCACCTCCTCCTCCTCCTTCTCCTCCTCCTCCTCCTCCTTCTCCTAGTGAGAAGGCAGGCCCGTTGCACAACCAATCGCAGGGGAGTTTGTCGGAAGCGCGCGAGGCACCAGCGTAGGTGTTCTGACGTTGAACCCCCTTGGGCGGATGTCCCGTCCTGTCTTCCTCTTCCTCCTCCTCCTCCTCCTCTTCCTCCTCCCCCGCCTCATCCCCAGACGCTCCAACTCCTCCTCCGCTGCACGTGGAACAGGACTGTCTGGAGGGAGGCGCCGCGTCTGTCTCCTGCGTGATGCGCGCGGCCGACCCCCCCGACGGCTCCTCCGCCCCGAGGTGTCCCGGGTCGTGGCCGCCTGAAGAGAGCTTCTCCGAGGGGCCGCCTCTTCGTCCCTCTCTCAGTGTCGTTCATCCGATGCCCATCCCCATCCCCATCCCCTTCGAGACCCCCACCAAATCACCACCCCAGCTGGGGATGCACCCCTCGAAGCCCGAAGGGAACGGCCTATATCCCCATCTAGGGTGGTAAATCGGCCAGTGGGGCCCAGGCCACGCCGCTGGGGATGGGGATCGAATACGCGATACTCGCTCTTCCCCCTGCTTTTCCTGTTCACTCCGCTCTTTCCCCTGTTTCCCTCCCTGTGCATCCCAGTGGTCATCCCTCGTCTATGCTGCCTCCCCCTCCCTCCGTTCTCCCTCCATCCCTCTCGCCCCTGCGTCCGAGAAGCTGCGGGCATGGCGCTTCGGTTGGCTGGTCTGTTGAGGAGCCCTCCCAGCAGCGGGGTCCTATCCTAGGTCGGGCCTGTCCCTCTACAGGAGGAATATTCAAAAATAGTCAAACAATTAGTTTGGGTGCGATTTTTTGATTATTGTGAAGGCCTGGTGGCGGGTGCCGCCGACCCTGAAAGACATCGACGACGACCAGGATGGGGAGGAGGATGAGAAGGAGGGGGAGGAGGAGGAGGAGGAGGAGGAGGAGGAGGAGGAGGAGGAGGAGGAGGAGGAGGAGGAGGAAAAAGAGGAGAAAGAGGAAGAAAGGGATTCCCCCCTCGGACCCCCCCCCCTTGGGGAGGAGGACCGGAGGAGGACCAGCATGGGAGAGGGGAGGGGAGGGGGAGGAGGACCCCCAGGGACGGATGCGTATCTGACTACCCTCCCCCCTCTGGGACCCTTCCCTACCTGGGGAGGAGGACCCGAGGAGGACCGGCGCGCCGGAGAAGGACCAGCGTAGGAGAAGAGGACCCCCAGAGGCGATGCGAATCTACCCCCCCCCCCGGGACTCCCCCCCGCCGGGGAAGGGACAAAGGGAAGGGGCTTCTCTTTGTTGTGATGAGGACGTGGATGGAATTCCTTCAAGTTGTGAACCCGCTCCCCGAACGAAGAAGGAGGCTCTCTCTCTCTCTCTCTCTCTCTCTCTCTCCCCCGACGGGAGAGGAGGATGGGAAGGAGGGGACGAAAGAAGGCTCCCCGTCGACGGGACCGGACAGACACCCCACACACGCCGACAGGGTCGGCGGATTTTTGAATATGTTCGAACATTTTTTACCTAACAGCGTAGACTGATAGGTTTCTAGTTGACTCAAAAGAGCTCACAGATCACTCCACAGGGGGGTCCGGGCAGGCGTTGGGAGTTGCCGGCCAGGCCTGTGCCGGGCTCGTTTTTCACCAACAGTCACACACTTCGTGCTCGTCGACCTCTCAGAACCCCATTCCCAGGCCACATTCTGAATAACCGGATGCAACAGTCACACACTTGGTGCTCCTTGACCTCCCAGAACGCCATTCCCGGGCCACATTTTGAATGCCCGGAGCCAACTGTAGGCCACTTCGTGCTCTTCGAGTTCCCAGAACTCCATTCCCGGGCCACATTTTGGATGCCCGGAGCCAACTGTAGGCCACTTCGTGCTCTTCGAGTTCCCAGAACTCCATTCCCGGGCCACATTTTGAATGCCCGGAGCCAACTGTAGGCCACTTCGTGGTCTTCGAGTTCCCAGAACTCCATTCCTGGGCATGATTTTGAATGCCCGGAGCCAACTGTAGGCCACTTCGTGTTCTTCGAGTTCCCAGAACTCCATTCCCGGGCCACATTTTGAATGCTGAGGCAGGCTGATGCTGAGGCTGAGGCAGGCTGAGGCTGAGGCAGGCTGAGGCTGAGGCCGAGGCTGAAGGCAGACTGAGGCTGAGGCTGAAGCAGGCTGAGGCTGAGGCTGAGGCAGGCTGAGGCTGAGGCTGAGGCAGGCTGATGCTGAGGCAGGCTGAGGCTGAGGCTGAGGCTGATGCAGGCTGAGGCTGAGGCAGCCTGAGGCTGACACCGAGGCTGAAGGCAGACTGAGGCTGAGGCTGAAGCAGGCTGAGGCTGAGGCTGAGGCAGGCTGAGGCTGAGGCAGGCTGAGGCTGAGGCTGAGGCAGGCTGAGGCAGAGGCTGTGACTGTGACTGCCGTTGCCACTGCGACTGTCATCGCGAATGCGACTACGACTGCGAGAACAGCGGAATTCTACAACTGGATTCTCATCTGAATCTTAAGGGGAATGCTTCCAGATATGCTCCTACACATCGCTGTTAGGTTGCTTTGCCGGGATAATAATTGGATATTTACGCATTTTCATCCAAAATCCGCCTGTAGGGGGACATGCCCGACTTCAGCCTATCCGGAGCGGTGCGCCGGGCTCCGAGGAGGTTGGCGAGCAGTCCCAGTGGCGGGCGCGCGCGGCCGAGGGCGACCTGCAGGTGGTTCTCGGTTATAAGTGCTGCTTGCGAAGATTATGAGTGCAGCTTTCGTTGCGCTGTTGTTTAACAGGGCGCGCACAGCTGTGTGACGACACCCCTGCATCCACCGCGAGGAAAAATTGCTGCTTGCGACAAGTAATTACCAAGAAGGCGGATACGAACGGCATGGCCGACCTGGGCGAGAGCCGGAGACACACGTGGCCAGATGTCTTTCCAGCGCTCGGCCCTTCTGTAGCAGGGCACGCTGGGCTTCCGCATGTGTATCCCGCGCGTGACCTCGGGATGCTCCATATGTGAATTCGGCCACATGCGTGTTTCCATTTTCCTGGTAGTCGCAGGCACGGAGGCTTGGTACGGCTGAAGGTGCTGATGGGATGAGCATTGTTATGGGCACGCAGGCCCCAACGTGTTGGTCATTCGTTATTATGCGCCAGGGCAGCTCAAACGAACTAATGGGCCTCTCCCGCTCAACAGCGCCCTTAACAATGGGCTTGCGGACTGGACTACGACGGGAGCGGCAGCATCGACATTGATGAGTTCGTGGACGGAATCATGCGCTCACAGGCTTGGGTTCGAACAAGTCGTCAGCATTTGAGAGGTAGCAGTGGAGAACTCCTGACGCTTCGCGTATCCCCACCAGCACATCCAGAAGCAATCACTCGGCGAGTTGACCTAATCAGGGCTGCGTGATGTGTTTTTAGTAGCCTTCGGCCCATCCCGCCACCGTGCCTGGTTTGTGTGGATAAATCCTATTGGATGTTCGTTGGGGTCTCGTGGGGGGCTTCTCGGGGCCTCGTGGAGGCAGTTTTGAAGCCTCTCAGGCGCTGTCTTGAGGCCTCTTGCGGCCTCTGTTAGGCCTCTTGCAAGCCTTTGTGGGCCTCTTGGGGGCCTCTTGGGGCCTCTTGGGCGCCTCTTGGGGCCTCCTGGGGGCCTCCTGGGGGCCTCTTGGGGGCCTCTTGGGAGCCTCTTGGGGCCTCTTGTGCGCCTCTTGGGGCCTCCTGGTGGCATCTTTGGGCGGAAGGCTCGAATTTTCGGTTCGTGTTCCTTCTCTTGACGGAATCGAACGCATTCTCGAAATCCACAGCTGCCACCCAGAGAGCAATATTGTGTTCATACATTTTTTCGTGCAGCAGAACTAACGTTAGTAGGTGGTCGTCGCAACTGTATCCTTTCCGGAATCCAGCTTGGTCCACCGATTGCTCTTCTGTAAGGTATGCCAACAATCTTCCGTGTAATACCATGCTGAACAGTTTGTACAGAATCTGAAGGATCGAAATGGGGCGATAATTGCTCGGCAACTTGGGGTCACCTTTTTTGAAAAGCACTTTGATGCACGTTTGTTTCCATGTCTGCGGAGGCTCCTCCCCGTCGGTCAAGATATTCGTATATCAGTGTTTTGCGCAGGCTGTACGAGGGGCAGACAGGGCAGATCTTGTCAGACCGCGCGAGTCGAGTTTTCACTTTGGAAAGGGGGACAAAACAAGGTGATCCGATGAGCCCTACTTTGTTTAACGCTTTGCTGGAGTCGATTATGCGCGACCTCAAACAGAAGTGGGATAAGAAAGGCTTCGGGGTGAGAGTAGGAGGCAAACGTCTCACGAATCTCCGGTTCGCAGATGATATCATGCTGATTGGAGCTACGCGGGCGCAGGTTCGGCACATGTTGGAAGACTTGACAGTTCGCGCTGGCGAAGCTGGGCTGACGCTGCATATGGGCAAAACCAAAATCTTGTCGAATGTTGTTGACCGGAGAGGGGTCCTTGCGCAATCGCACGTGCCAGTCGGGGCTGGCAGGGTGGAAGTGCTCCCAGTGGGCGGAAATGTGTCTTATCTCGGGCGCAAGCTTTGCTTCCAGGATCTTCATGACGTGGAAATACAGAGCCGCATTGCCAAGGGATGGGGGGCCTTCGGCAAGTTCAAAGCAGTGCTGTGTAATAAGCATTACCTTTTGCGTTCTCGTTTTCGCCTGTTCGATGCCGTGGTCACATCAACTGTCCTCTACGGTAGTGGGACGTGGACTATGACGGCGGCAAGGGAGACAAAGCTACAGACAGAATTGCGCAAGATGCTTCGGAAAGTTGTTGCAACGCCACCGCTGAAAGCAGTTTCTGAAGGCGGCACGGACGAGCCGTACGTGGAGTGGATCAGCCGGGCGACTAAGAAAGCAGTGGGCGAGTACGAGAAAGCCGGTTTTCATAATTGGGTACAATTGCAGAAACGTCGAAAAGCTGCTTTGCTGCAGAAGATCGTCGGCAGCACCGATGGCAGGTGGTCGAAAGCAGCGCTGGACTGGACGCCTGTGGGGCGCAGGGCGCCAGGCCGTCCGCTGAAGCGATGGACGGACGATGTCGTCATCTACAGTTAGGGAATCTGTTGCATTCAATAACTTTGGTTCTGCGAGAAGCCTTTTTTTCCGGCAGCCCGAGCAGGGCGCGCTCCGGCGCACGCCGGTGGACCTCTGTGGACCTCTGTTCCTTCTCTTGGGCCCCCTTTGGGACCGTATTGGGGTCCCCTTGGGCTATCTTGGACGCCTCTTGGGCCGTCTTGGGGCGCTCTTACGTCGTCTTGGGGCCCTCTTGGAGGCCTCTTTGGGTGGTCTTGGGGGCCTTTTGGACAGTCTTGGAGCGTCGGAAAGCTGAAAAGGCGAGAATACCAAAATCCTTCAAACACCTCGAGAATTCCATTGCCTATTGGGGCCCTTTCGGGAGGCCTCTTGGAGGCCTCTTGTGGCGTCTTGCATGCTCGTTCGGCGACTCGGGGCCCTCTGGCATTCACAGGAGGGTTCGAGAGGTCGCATTGGGGAGGGTACAGCGTCCACAGGAGACATAGGAAACACGTCAGAACTCACGGGAACCAGCCCGAAAAACCTGGGAAAAGCATGGGAAACGATTGGTCCGGACCCGTGAAGACTTGAAATTTTCGTTGCAGCAGCAGCAGCCGCAGCAGCAGCAGCAGCAGCAGCAGCAGCAGACAGCGTCTACCTCTCAGTGCTGCATGAGCCTTGGGGCACTCCACTTCGTGCCAGAGGTACGGTGGCGGATCAGCATGCAGCCACGCTCCGGGAGCCTCTTGGGCCCTCTTGGAGCGCTCTTGGGGTCGTTTTGGACCCCCTTGGGCCCCTCTTGGGGCTTTCTTGGGCCATCTCATCTTGAGACCTCAAGAGCCCGTCGGCAGAGAAAAGTAGAGACTGCGAAACACAGTAATGTAGTAATGTTCTTAAGTCTTGTAGGGCTTGGAATTAGTTCGGCTTCTCAGGGGACTCTTTGGGAAGCTCCGCCTCAACTTGCTGCCGCCTTGGAGCGATCTTGCAGGCTCTTGTAGGCATGTTGGAGGCTATCTTGTATCACCTTGGGCTATACTCGGTTGCCGATTTGGGCTATCAGGCACCCTCTGGGCGTCATCTTGAGCCATCTTGGATGCTCGAACCCCTCGCGCCCCCCGACCCCTTCCCCTGTCCAGATCCAGGGGGAGAGAGGGGCCCCTCCCGAATGGGAAGGAGGGTTAGCAGAACGAGCTCGCTAGACCACTCACACCCAGAGGGCTGGTGGGATAGTCATTCACGCGATCCCGCCCCACATGGACTGGGACATGTAAGAGGGAATGGGAATTCTGGACCTATTGCGTGTTGCCGCCAGCTCGCCCGGAAACCATGCCGAGGCGAGTTGCCTTGACAAAGGAAGTGCAGGAGCAAGTAGTGGAACAGAGAGGGGGGCAGCAGTCAAACCGAAACTCGGGATCCGCCTGAGCAGACCAAGTAGTCAACCATGACTGCCTTGGTGAACCTTCCTAGATGGAGCCTCTTGGAAGCTAGGTTGGGCCATCTTGAGCTATTTTCGAGGCGTTTTGGGTTCTGTTAAGGCCATGCAGCGAAATGGAGCAAGTGGCTGTTACACTGGACGCCTTGGTTCATGACTCAAGCCAAACGGTAGATCGGGCAACCTCGTCTGAGATGAAGGAACTCGTTGACTGCGGGAGTTGTCTTCCCTGCGCGTTTCACCAAGAGCTTTTTTCTCACATGATAGATGCACGCCTGCCCCCTTGGGGACCGCTCCGGCCACTGGAGCTGGCACGCACCCTCCCTGTCCCTCTCCCTGGGGGGCACCCTGAAGGACAGCGATGAAAACGTAGTGCGGCTTTGATTCGACTGCCTTGGGTGATCTCGGAGCCATGTTGCGGCCTTCACCCAATCGGAAGCAAAACGGCAAGGAGGTTAACCACACTGAAGCACAACATGATTCTTGACTGATTTGAATGTCGTGGGGACTGCCTTCCCTTCAGGCAGGTCTGCCCTTCTCCCCCCTTCCTCTCTCCCCCCTTTGCCCGAGTCAGGGGCTATTGCAGGTTTTTGCCTTCATCTCTGCACTGGGGCCGGCTCTCGTCGCGCGTTCATTCCTCTCAGTTTTCTTTCTTCCCCCCCAAAAAAACGAAGGTTGATAGACCTCCTACCCTGACACGTCGAGTAAGGAATTGGCCGTTTTCGGTTCGCGAGAGGGCGTCGCGGCCGTCATTTGCACGGGTCCAGGTCTGTCGGTTTCGGTCCTGGGCCGTTTTCACTAAGGGGAGGTTTACTACAGGGAGGTTTGTCCACCGCCGGAAAAACGTCGTGGGGACTGTCTTGGGAGGCTCCGAGGCCATTTGGAGTCGAGTGAAATAGTTGCACTTGGCGACCACGCTCGCTCGGACGCACCACCGCCGCCTGCGTGCGCGTGCGAGCGTCGGGCTTGAAGCCGCGCAGCACTCGCCGCGTGCCGGCGCCGGCGCCAGTACGCGGAGGCTCGTTTCGCAGCGGCGCGCAGAGGGCGTGCGTGCAGCGGCGGTGGGCGCCAACACGCAGAGGCTGGCAGCTTCCATTGCTGCATTCGCGCCAGACGAAAGGGGGGGATAGGGAAAGGGGGGGGTACGGAATCTGCTGCATGCAGCTGGTTTCGGCCTCACCGAGTGGCCCGTTCCTCGATACCTGACCGCCTCTGGCGTGGGGAGGCGCCGGGAAAATCAGCTAGGTGAGCTGATTCTCAAACCCCCCTTTTGCTATCCCCCCCTTTCGTCCGGCCCGAGGTATGCCTTCGCCGGTGGCGTTCCCCGTTGGCCCCCTGTCGGTGCTCGATGGAAGGCCGCTTTGGGGGCACGCAGGCGCGCACGCTGTCCCCCTCAGATCCAGGCAGACTCTGGGGACTGCCGCTGAGTCGGGCGCTTCCCTTTGCAGGAGGAATATTCAAAAATAGTCCCAAACAATAGTCTGGGGACGATGTTTTGACCGTGTTAAACTATTTGGGAGTATGTTTTGACTTTTTTATTGTTCGTCCGCAATCCGCCTAATTTCTATTGTTCGTCCAAATCCGCCTGTAGGGGGACTGGCCCGACCTAGGACTACCGTGGTGGTCGCATGCGATGTGGCATATTTTCGGCAACGTCAGATCTGAGGTAAGGCCGCTTGGGCCACGAAGGAGCGCACGCTGTGTGCACGTCGGCAATAGCACGGCTTCAAGCTTCCATCGGTTTCGTTCGCCCGGCGGGGTCGCTGCCCGATCGGCACGGCCCGAGCAGGCAGACAAGCCTTCCGAGCTCATCGTGCTCGTGAAGCAAAGCAGGGCGATCCTGGACAGGCTGAAGGCTGGGATGGGTCCCGAGGGGGGGCGGAGTGAGGGTGGACGGGTTAGTAGGTTCACACGTGGAGGACATGACCAGGCGGCTCTGAGATGCTGGCAAATCGGCCAGAGGACGCTAGAAGAAGGAGCGTCGGAGCACTCGAGCCCAGTTGCACCCCCCAGAGGAAGCCAGGGTAGCACACCGATGCCGATGCCAATGCCTCGTTTTTGCCTTTCTTGGCCCTTGCCTGTTCCCGGTTTTGTCTGGAAGAGCCTTTTATTTTTTCAGAACGCGCCCTGGAGAGGTCCAGAGAGCACAGTACGCATATCACTTTGCCATGCGAAAGGGGAACTCTTCGCCAGAGTGACGGTTTGGTGCGGACCGATAGGCCCCCCCTCGCCAGCGGCTTTCGCGCGTTGGCCTGCCCCCGCCCCACCTGCGGCCCCCAACGCCGCGCACCAAAGGTCACTCTTGCCTAGGGCCACTCTTGCTCGCAGGCGGTAACTGTGAAGTGCGGAATCGGCCTGCCAGCAGGTGCACCAATACATTTTTTGTTATTCCCGATGGACCAGGAACCCGCCAGACTTGTTGAGGCACCTGGCGAAGTTGAACACCGGGCGGGGAACATACCCTCCGAGTTCTCATGCCGACACTCAGCATGGTACATGTAAGTTGTAGCGGTCAGAGTGAGTGAGGGGGCCGACCGGTCTTGCACCGCAGGGGGGTTCCGTGGTGAGGATGCTTGTTGTTGCCTTCTTTCCGTCGTCCTGCGCGCGACCCAGCCCGCGACCCACGCGCAACCCGGCCCGCGCCCCACCCGCGACCTACGCGCGACCCGCCTGCGACCCACCTGCGACTTGTGGTGCGTGGGGGGGGTAGGAACTCCTTCTGCCTCCCCCCCCTTTTGAAAGTCGGGAGGGTGCTTAGACCCCCCCCTGCCCACCCCCACTGCTCGCCAGCAGACGATGGCTACGACGAACTCGGCGACGATGCTGACGATGACGGACACGACGAACACGACGACGCTGTCGACGACGACGACGACCACCACGACGGACACGACTACGAGCACGGCGACGACGCTGCCGACGACGAACACGACGACGACAACGACGCTGACGACTACGACGCTGACGACTACGACGCTGACGACTACGATTACGACGACGACGCTGACGACGACGAGCCTTGATCATCAACGAGCGAGTTATGCGTTGAGTGTCCCGGCTGCCCGCCTGCTTGCACTGTCACACCCGTTGCCGCCGTTGCCATGTTTGTTGTTATCCTGTTTTTTGCTTTTTGTTTTTTCATGGGGCGTACGCCATGCCGCCGACCCCCGGAAGATGATAAAAGCGTGCCTTTCGATATCGTCGGTGCTGTTGGCCGCTGCCCGTCGTGCTCCCTGCATGTATCGGGCCGGACGCAAGGGGGGGATTGGGAAAGGGGGGGTTACGAAATCTGCTGCATGCAGCTGGTTTCGGCAACGCCACCAGGCCCATTCCTCGATACACGGGCGCCTCCTGGCGCCGGGAGGCGCCGAGAAAATCAGCTGCGTGAGCTGAGTCTCACGCCCCCCCTTTGCTATCCCCCCCTTTCGCTTGGCCCGAGTGTGGTTGAGGCTGATTTGTCCTTTTCTTTCTCCGCGTCTGTCGCTGGGCTGAGGGCCTCCTGGAGGTCCAGGACGCGGCCTCTTGGAGCCTCTCCAGGGCTCCTGGTCGGTTTGGGGAGCCCTCTGGGGGCTTCCTGGGGGCTTCATTCGGGATTATTGGAGGCCTCTTGAGGGCCTCTTTTGCCTTCTTGGGGTTCTCTTCTTGGGCTGTCTCAGGGCCCTCTTGGGCTATTTCCGGGCCTCTTTGGCCGTCTTGGGTTGGTCTGGGGGTCCTCTGTGATTGTCGTGGATTTTCAGAAGTCCCAAGCACCGGTAAAACGAGCATCAGTCAAAACTTCTGAGGCAGCAGTAATTTGTGTCTCTTGACGCCCTATTCCGGGCCCTCTTGGGGCGTTTTGGTGGCGTCTTGGGCAGTCTCGAGGCCATATTGGGTGTTCTTGAGACCTCTCTGGCCTGCCAGAGTGTTTCTCGAGCCATCTTGGAAGTTATCTGTGCCCCACCCTCGTCGTCGGTCGTTGGCCGTCGGTCTTCGGTCGTTCTCGTCCTCACTCTGGTCATCAGCTTCAAGCGTCGTCAACATCAACGTCGTCGCCGCCGCCGTCGTAGTAGTCGTCGTGTTCGTCGTTGTCTTCGTTTGCTGGCGCGCAGGGGGGGACGGGGGAATTTTGGGGCCCCAGTCCCACAGGAGGAGGCGGAGGAGGAGGGGGGATTTTCGAGAGTGAGAGAGGGGATCCAAGTTGTTGCGAGGGGAATCTCGGAAATCACAGCGCATGTGCACGTAGTTCCCCCAGCTATCGTCAGAGGTGGCCCTTGCCCACCGCTGCGCCAGTTTTTCCACAGAAGCCCGGATGTCCTCCAGAACGCCCCTCACGAGGCCGAGAGGGCCCCAGGGGCTCCAACGTGGAGTAAAAAACCCGGGGCGCTTTGGGCCAAGACCGCCAGCCGTGGCTGCTCTGGAGAGTTCAGTCCACAGAGGGTGTCTTGGTACGCATCTTGCTCGCCCTGGGGCTCGCCACCCAGGAACCGCAGCCATCCCTGCGGACCGATGGCTGGCCGCGTGCCTGCAGTCAGCACCTGCAATCTCTGGAACAAAACCTACTCAGATTCAGCGGGGCACGCTAAGATGTTTGTCAGGGGTGCTTTAAGGAAACTTTGGCGGACATCTATATGTACACACATATCGTATAGATTCCCCATGTGTTATCCGACGTGTACAGATTGTTATGACTGACACTTCCTGTTGGAGACCCTTTGCATCTTCGCTTTGCCCGCAGGGTCTGCCCTTGGATTATTTGCCTGGGTTGCCGTGTCTGTTGCGCCTTGAGGTCCCTTAATTGGGGTCTATTTGGTCCATTGCGCGAAACTTGCATCTTCGGCATCGTTCCCATTCTGTCCCCAGGTAATTGTTCTTGCGATCCTGTGATCTTGTGCCCTCTCCGCCTGCTTGCAAGGCTCTTTCGCGTCACCGTCGCTCATAGCAGTATTGCTCCCTGTATACGTTCTGCCTGAATTGGCGCCCCCTTTCACCGACAGGATTTGGGAGTGCGGGTGTCTGTACGGTCTGACAGCCAGTCGGTCTTGCCGGCGGCCGCGATGGACAAGATCAAGAAGGTGGCACGGCGCTTATCTTTTGAAGAGCAAGGCTGATTGGTTTGTCGCTGGGCGATTGAGCCTAGCATGCCCCCTGTAGCCCTCGTCACTGGAGGTGCCTTTCGGCGCGTCGCCGCCTGTCCCACAACCATCCCACGAGCCGCGATTGACGGCAGGGTGCTACAAGCTCTCCCGCCACTCCGTGAGCTCCTTTGCTAGGATTTCGCTCGTGGAGACGTGCCCAGGTGATGGCCTGGCCAGCACGTAGTCTTGACGGTGTCTTTCTCGTGGCCGGCTGCTGGTAGACAAGTCTTGCCTGGGTGATGTCGGTTGCTTTGAAAGAGCGTGTTCTACCGCTGCTGGCGGAAAACCGGGGGGGGTCACTACCGGTTCGAACCCGTCCCCCCCCCCACCCCCTCCGGAAAACCGGAGGGGGTCACTACAGGTTCGAAGCCCTCCCCCCCCACAGTCCATTATGAAAAGGGAGGGGTCACTACCAGTTCGAACCCCCCTCCCCCCCCACCCCCTCCCCCTCCGAAAACTGGGGGGGGGTCACTACCAGTTCGAACCCCCCCCCCCCTTGAAAACCGGGGTTGGGGGGTGCGGACAGTGGTGGGGACGGTGGTGGTGGGGACAGTGGTGATGGGACATCGGCGGGACAGTGGTGGGGACAGTGGGACAGTGGTGGGGACGGTAGTGGTGGGGACAGTGGTGAGGACAATGGTGGGAACAGTGGGGACAGTGGGACAGTAGTGGGGACGGTGGTGGTGGGGACAGTGGTGTGGGGACAGTGGGAATGTGGTGGAAACAGTGGGACAGTGGAGGGTACTGTGGTGGTGGGGACAGTGGTGAAGGCGGTGGCGAGGACGGCGGCGGTGGGACAATTGGACAGAGGTACAGTGGGGACAGTGGTGGGGACAGTGGGGACAGTGGTGGGAACAGTGGGACAGCTCAGTGGGACAGCGGAGGAGTCAGTGGGACAGTGGGGACAGTGGGGATAGTCGGGCAGTCGTTGGGGCCGTGGAGAAAGTGGGGAGAGTGGAACCGTGGTGGGAACAGTGGTGGGGACAGTGGGGACAGTGCGACAGTGGTGGGGGCACTGGTGGGGACAGTAGGGAAGGTGGTGGAACCAGTGGGGACAGTGGTGGTGAGGACAGTGGTGCTGGGAACAACAGTGGGGGATGTGGTGCGGACGGTGGTAGGGACCGGGAGTCGTTTGCTGGCGGTGAGGGGGTGTGGGGAGGGGTTCGAACCGGTAGTGACCCCCCCTCCGGTTTTCGAGAGGGGGGGTCCCCCGGTTTTCCGACCGGTAGTGACCGGTTTTCGAGGGGGGGGGTTCGAACCGGTAGTGACCCCCCCGGTTTTCGAGGGGGAGGGGGGGGGGGAGGGGTTAGGGGAGGGGGGGGTCCGGGGAGGGGTGGGGGGGGGGATTTTCGGGGGGGGGGGGGGACCTCCGGGTTCCGGAGGAAGAAGGGTGGTCATTTTTCACAGTAAAGCTGCGGTGGATCACGCTCTCTCTTTGCTTTTGTTGCTGAGGCGTTTCGTGCGGAAATGCCATGGTGTCGTTGTTCTTCCATGCGGCAGCGAAGGCTAATTTTTTCGAGGCTCTCTCGGTGCTAACTTTGACATCGAAGGCCCCTGGCCTTCAGGCCAATTCGCAGAGGTGTCGCAACAGAGGCACGCGGCAGTTTGGTGGTGAGGTGGGGGTGGGAAGCGATGTCCGATTTCTTTCGAGGTTGCCTTCGACTTGCCTCCGCGCAGATCATGGGTCGGATTGTGATTCGAGCTGGCTGTACAACAGGAGCATGTCTGATATAGCCTCGCCG